GCTGTCGTGCATATAATCGAATAAACGCTATTAATTCATTACTTGTTACAATTTTTACTATTTAGTATTTCTAACACTCATACATATTTTCAAATTCATCAAATATTGTATATCATATAATTATTTATAAGATTAATAATATGAATATCATATTTAAATGGAAAATAATATGTATTACGTTACAAATATATTGATTTATATTTATAACTGTATCTTCATTAATGTAGCTTCAATGATAATAACTATATATAACTATATTTATATCAAAAAATTATTTAGAACTAGAATATAAAATGTTATAAAAGAATACGCATAGATAGTCAACCAAAATATTAACTAACCGAGTTTTCGCGAACGTGCTCTTATGCGAATTACTTGTTATAACTTGTTTAAACAAGCGCAATGGATTAGACTGCAGCGATTGGGTGTCGCATGGATCATTAGTTTATTGTCTGGCATCAGGCAATAACAGTGAACATTTAACAAAGAATGTATAAAAAATAAATAATACATTTTCTACAATATTCATTCGTGCTGTCATAGTGCAACAATACTTTATTAGTCTGTAAACAAACATGTGAACGTATGTGAATATTCAATGTTGTATAAAACCGCAGGTAAGTTTTCGAAAAATATTCTTGTGCTATTCGTTATTTAATACAATATTTATTATTCCCAATAGCTAGTATGTACATGATAGTATAGTAAATATCGAATCATCATGATACCAATACCATCATCAATACCTCCGGCAGAACCTGTATTGTTACAACATGTTATGCGTGTTAAATGGCAAATCAATGAATGGTCTCAAGCAAGATCTGCAAGCATAACATCCTTCGACCCAACACAATATGGCTGGATATTAAAAAATAATGTATTGTGCTACAATTATTTTGAAGGAGATACGGCCATGGAAATGTTACAAAAATTCATATGTTCCTGCAGTGGAAAGTTACCCTGCAGCGATGAAGACATTTGTTCTTGCTTATCACAAGGCTTCAAATTTTGCGATCTTTGCAATTGCTCTATAAAATGTCAAAATGCAGAAATACAAACTGATAATACCGATTCGGAGACTGAAAATTGATTTTTTATTAAATAAGTAGTTAAGTTTATATTTAAATGTAAATATATTTTTTTGTATTAATAAATTCCTTTGATATATGAATTTTTTGTAATGTTTAATTAATTTATTTTTCATTTAAATATATTCATATCAAATCTTAATTATATGATATACAATATTTGATGAATTTGAAAATATGTATGAGTGTTAGAAATACTAAATAGTAAAAATTGTAACAAGTAATGAATTAATAGCGTTTATTCGATTATATGCACGACAGCACTATATCTATATACATATAGCGATACGTAGGGGTGGCGCGTGGGCACTAGCGGCCGAAATTCAGCTGCAAATTTTACGGGTTAAAAAAAAGGGGCTGGTTTAAAAAAATACTACATTAAAGTATAAGTCTCGAGGATCGTTTTGCGCTTTTGAACTTTCCGATAGCTTTGGTAGGAGCTGAGATATGAATTTTTAAAGTTGGCAACTTAGCCATTTTTCGACCTTAAATCGCCCCAAGCTCGAAAAGGAAGCGTTCTACGAAAAAATGTGAAGAGACAAAAAGTGTTTATTTTTGCCCAATTTACCTTAGAAAATTTTGCAGAGCGTTTTTTTACAATATTTTTATTTTGCAACCTTTTTTGTTAATAACAAATTACCTGCCACTCGGACAAGATGTTACTTAGGTTTTTTGTTAGCAATAACTCAATGCATCGATTACAAAAGGTTTCATCCTGGCCTCTCCTCGTGGTCGGTGACCTTGATTTTCTAAGCATCTTTTTAGGGGTGAACCGTTCGTCTATAAAAAGGTCAACACTGCGGGAGAACACGTAATGACGTCACGATACCGGCCATTCGGCGATCAAGTCATGGGCAGTCGGAGAGATGTGTAGATATTTGCTATACTTTTACCTATATTATATACCTATATTTTTAAGTGTATAAATAGAGAGTGTATAAGAGATATACATCAAGTCTTGTTGAAATGCATTTTTCACACAACATATTTATTATAAACATAGAATGACTTGGAATGCCTAAATACATTTTCGGATTTTTCTCAATGACGTAAATGGTGCGCTTGTCTACATTTTCTTTTGCGTTCCATTTTTGTACAAATGTACCCAACGTACTAGACTCGGTACTTGTGGATGTATGCGACGACGTGTATGTGCCAGTGCCAGTAGTACTTTGACTAGTATTTGAAGCAATTCAGAACCACCCTCGTTTTTCTTTGGTTGCCCGTCTAGGGGGTTGTAAAATATTATTATTTAAATAAATTGCTTATAGGTCCCTCTCGCCGACGTATTTCGAAATTTTTATGAACGGGTACGTTTAGATGGGGTAGAAATTTTTTTTTTCGGCATAAACTTTCAAATTCTGCTCTAAATGTTAATAATAATATTTACAACCCCCTAGACGGGCAATCAAAGAAAAACGTGAGTGGTTCTTAACTGTTTATAGGTCCCTCTCGCCAACTATTTCGATTTTTTTGTGAACACGAACATTTAGATGGGGTAGAATTTTTTCCGGCATAAAGTTGAAAATTGTGCTCTAAATGTTCAAATAATAATATTTTACAACCCCCTAGATGTGCAACCAAAGAAAAACGAAGGTGGTTTTGAGTCCCATATAGGGTTGCCAGATCTATTTCATGACAGACCCGGAGAAATTGACGTCCAAAAAAAAAAAAAGGTTTTTAGGAAATTTTGAAGTCAAATCGTTTACGAGGAAATCGATCTCTTAAAAAAAAAAGGTCTACAGCAGCTCAATGGAAAAATTGATGTCTAAAAAAAACAATCAGATCTCAGGAAAATAAATTTCGGGGTTAGGACGTCTTAACCCGAAGAAATGACATTAACCCGGAGCCCGGAGATGTACCATCAAAACCCAAAGACTGGCAAGCCTAGTCCCATACCGTGGCTGGGAAACCGTGGATAACATCGAGTTGATCCTGAGGTACTTTTAAAGCCTGGAACTATACAATATTTGTACAATCCTCGGTTTCGATTCGACCCATTTAGACATAAAAACAATGATTAACGAAACTGCCAAGCGAACCACACCGTATGTATTAACACAGAATGGGATGAGAGCGAGCGCGAGCGGTGTGCTCTGCCAGTAGCCCGTACCGGTATTATGACGTCAGGCAATGGTTGCTCAACGTTTTTCCGCGCTCTGTTTTCATTAATTTATTTTACATATTTCTCGTTGAAACAAAAAATTGATTTTTGGCTTACTAACTAACTAAAAGGTAAACTTTTGGAATATGCAAAAAAATTCTACTGAATAGGCCTACGGCATAGTTTCTAAAGTTATTGTTAAATGTGGTAGTATTGATTTATAAGTAATTCATGCTGGGTGAAATGACCCCTTGAAAATGTCCGATGGGCTTGCAGTCTATGGCATATGTTTTTTTGGCAGTCAGTAGCATTGTGTCTCGTGAGCACAGAGCGGTGCATGGCTTGATCATAGATTTTAATCTATTTCTGCTACTAGAACGCGTATTGCCGTTTACTAGCATAATATAGATTACTACTGTTTATTTATTTGATAGTCGCCACAAAGTTTCCAATGTCTAATGATTATAAAGTTATAATTTATTTCTAGATATTTAAAGAAATATGTGCAGACAAGACCCCTTCTGTAGAATTCGATGATATTATATTTCTAAATGCTAATATTTAAGCGGTACTCTTTCGTTAAGCAAGAAGAAATCCCTATTAAAGACGAATTTAAAGATTTTTCGTGAAAAAAATATATTGTTAGCCACAACCGCCACAGGGCTCATATTCTTCCATTTTATGGGTGGTTAAAATTAAAACAATCTTGTTATTATTTCATTGACTTCATGCCCTTGCAGTTGCGGCCTTGCTGATTCTTGGAATTCTTTTGCAGGTGATAGCATTCATTTGCGGGTTGATCGTGATAATACTGATGATAATGGGCCTGGCCTCAACCGACTGGCTTATGGCAGCCGGCTGGAGACAAGGGCTCTTCATGCACTGCATAGAACAGGGGGCGCCCATGCCCCTGCCCTTCAACATGCAGGATCCCCCTGGATGCTACAAATCCAGAGACGAAGGTTGGTAGATAAACTTTATTCCCTTATTATGTCCTTAACCGAAGAGTAAAAAGAAGGATTTTTCAAAAATTGAACTTATTTTATTCTTCGTTCACACTCAAAGCACTTAATTGCTAATTACATTTAAAAAATAAGTAAATACGTCATTATTTTATTAGGTATTCAGCAATATACACGTACTTTATTATTGCTGACGTTCTAAAAATATACCTGCTAAGCATATAAAAAACCGTTACTAATAGACGCCTTATCTTTAGTAATGTTGTTTTTACTTATTTGCTTTACTTATTTATTGTTTATATTAATGAATCAATGTTAGGCAAACCCCAATAAAAATTCAAAGAAATTATTGATAAGGGTAAACAATGGCAGCACTTAGAAACAGAGCTGTGTAATAAAATCTATATGAATGGCACAATTAAGCACGGGCGTAGCTAGGGGGGGCAGGGGTGTGCGCGGCCCACCCCAGAAAGTTCGGTGCCCACTCCAGAAAAAAAGATCTAATATCTTAGTCATATTTTTTTTAGAATCAAATACCGGGAAGTCGCTGATTGCGAGAGCTTTTTTTTATTGTAGCTACGTCCATGCAATTAAGTTATTTGTTCATTACAACCTAAGTTTATAGCAGTAATAAGTAGGGTCGTTTCCTTTTTTATGTCTTCTTTTCCCAAAGATTTGCGTAAAATAACATGTAAGACATATTTCGTCAATTTTAATTTTCGACCGTTTTGTCACAACAAATGGCTCCAACTTCTGAAATATAATACAGGTATAATTACTAAAATTAATTGTAAACCTACAGACTTTTTGTTAGCTCTTTCGGAAACGTATCCAGGTTTGTGATCAAATCAAATATATATACTTTAGTCATAAATAAAAGTTGCTACCACCGATTTGCTGAATGATTGATATTCGTTGGTTAATTTACCGTTAATCGTACAACAGACAGTTTTAAAATGTAAAAAATTGAAATAATATTTTCTCTATGCGGTGATAAAAATAGGAGTTGGCGGCTTAGAGACCTACAATTATAGTGTAAAAATGTAAAATGTAGTAAAAATTATCATAATCTTAATTTAATGATACCTTACCTTAATCTTAAACCCCAGTATTAGTCTTAACCCTAACATTTTTATCTCGCCTATAAAAATTTGGTCGTAACCTCAGTCTTAATAATTTACCAGCAACACTCTGGGGACAGAAATGACGGATTTTTGCGCATGCTTACGCAATAAGTTGTGGTCCTAGTCTTATTGTTAGTCCTAAAAGTTAAACGATAGGAATTTTCAAGGTCAGGTCAGGTTATCCTTTGTTACAGTTATTTTAAAAACTGTTTAGTTTTACACAGGGTGGTTAAAATTTATTGTCGAATTTAATTAACTTTGAACCGCCAAAACTTGTTTTTTTCTAAATGGAACACCCCGTATATTTAATCACAAACTGTTATAGAATTCTAGTCTCTATCTATCCATATTACACTTCTCTATACTTATCTCTCTTAATTATTTTTCTGTTATTGACGGTTTTTGTGATATTTAAAATGACCCAATTTCTTGCGATGATGGCTGTGAAATTGTTAGGAAATTAAAAACAAAACAACCAATATGTATAAATCGTCATTTGTTATTAATTGGCCCATTGGCTTACGCCATAAGACAGCCTGTACATCCGACCGTGGTGAATAATATTTATGCCCCAAATCTTGATTATACCTGCATATAATATTCTGTTTGTGAATACCAATATCTTTCTGTGATATTTTTATATGCCCCATGACTTGCGGAACCCGGCAAATGTTTCGATTTTTGTGAGGAACCCTACGCCTAAAAAAATTTTCGAACTCATTTTTTACTGATTATATATTTATAAATACTACGAGTAACAAAAAAATATTCCACTAAGTAAAAACTAAACTATGGTTTTAAATTTTAAAGTAAATATTTATTGGATAATTAAAAAAAGAGTAAATATAATCAATGACTCGGATGTGCTTGAATATTTTTACGTAATACGTTGAAATCAGGTGCTATTGTCGTAAGTTGCAATCGCATTCGTGTGTACTTATAAAAATAAAAAAGTTTTAAGAGTAATTTTTTTTGGATTTTGTAGTAGGTATCAACATTGTTAATTTGAAAATTTTGAAGTTTTGACAGTCGCGGAACCTCCAGAGAGGTTGTGGGGAACCACAGGGTTCCACGGAATACAGTTTGAATACCGCTGCCCTAAACCTTTCCGGCAGTAAATCTAATGTTGCTTCTTTCACTATTTCTGATATCTCCTCTTCAGAATCGCTCGAATCCATTTATCTTTTCTAAAAAATTGAACACACGACACAGTAATAGATACAAACAATAAGGCGACTTTAACCACAGATAACAGATATTTTTCTTTTTTCTATGACTAACTACGGCCTATTGTTTATGTCGCAGTAACAACGAAAAAAATGTAACTCTAATAAAGGTTGGACAAGTTAAGATGATTTTATTAGGTACTGTTGAAGATAGAGAGATAGTTGTCACCAAATACAGAATTACGGACCATATGAAAAGGCCACAGTGGCGTAACGTTATTAAAGGGTAATTTTTTCATTCATTGTTTCGAATCAATTGCGATGGCGTCTAACTGTTTTAAACGTTTCTGTTGTACAAGCTATTGGTTTTAGAGCAGTCATCAATGTAAATGTAATGAAACTTCCTAATTTTGAAGCTTTCAGTAAAAACGTCACCATTTAGTATTATTTTGAGGAATTTGGATGCAATATGACAAACAAGAACATATGCTACATATTAATTTTAATTTATAATCATTTTATGGTTAGATAACATGTTATATGGAATTTTTCTTATGGAAACGTCTGAATTAGAAAAAATATTAATAATTGTATATTTTTCAGCATATATCAGAGCGGCAGCTACATTATGTGTGATAACCCTCCTCACGGACCTAGTGGCCACAGTCTTGACAGGTCTAGGACTAGGAACCAAAGACCACCACACCAAATACAAGTATTACAGGTTCGCCGTCATAGTTATGGGCCTGGCGTGTAAGTTTAGAAATTTTTGGTTGCTCGAACCATCCAGATCTGAACCCGCTAGACCACGAATTTTTGCATCCTTAAATATGTTAAAGTTCTCAATCATAAATCTACGGATTTAAACACACGTCTTTGTTTATAATGTCCTGTGAATTGTAACACATCTCGCGCATTTCCACAATTTTTCGCTTTTCTGAACACTTACGATTCCCAGCTGCAAAACTTTGACAAATAAATGTGCCTGCAATTTTGTCCTTGCAGATTTGGCTTTGATCTAAACTAGAACGCCGTCATAACGACGGCGAGTACAAAGCGGATCAGATGCTGGAGGTTCTTCTGTAATTAAAAGCAAACAGCGGATATCAACGTGTGTACGTGTCTCTGTGTGCATTTGTATTAATAATGTTTATGTCTTTGCAGTGGTAGCGATACTCATCGCGCTCATAATTTACCCCGTGTGCTTTGCGGCGGAATTGAATTTAGGTAAGTCAGGTTAAGTGCTTTCTGTATTATGACGTTCTAGTCTTGTGTTTATGTTTGGAGATGTTAATATTTTATCCGAAAATATGATAAGATCCAGGAAAGTATCCTAAAATCAAAACGATTTTTTTTCAAATGTATTGTGAACACAGTAAAGTGGGTAAATAAACTCAAAATTCGAAGTCGCCCCTTAGCAACATTGGCAGTACCTACTGATGAAATTGTAAATATCGAGGTTATGCAAAATTTAATAAATTAATGTTATTGATATTTAACATATGGTGCAACTAAAAAAAAATAATATTTTTTTGTTTTTATTTTAAATTAAATTTAACAAAACTATACAAGGTGTAACTATAAATTTTATCATCATATCATAAGCTCATTTTCTCAGATTTCCTCGTGAATTTTGTTTCGTACGCGACTAGAGCGCGTCTTTATTGATTCATATATTTTTTCATACTGCTGTAGTGTAGTTTGTTTTTAATATTTGTTTCACATAAAGTCGTTTTATGATAAGCTGGACAAGTGTAATATATGAAATCTGCTGTCTAATAACTTTTCTTTATGAAGTTCAGAAGTACCAACAAAAACATTGAGGTTAAGTTATTTGTATTCATATTTTACTTCAACACGTTTTTCATAAAAAATTATAAATTACGATTACATTTTTTTTTCCATTTTATTAATTAAAAAATAACTAATTTCACCTTTTTCAAGATAATACTCATTTTCAATTTGTCTTTATGACTTGCTTGCAAAGTTGGTAGTAGCGGTTTTTGTTTCAAAGAAATTCACAAAGTTTGAAACAATGTAAAACCAAACCCTTTAATAATAAATTTATGAATTAACCCATGAAAAACTTTGCGAATTTATTCTCAATGTAAAACAATTATAAAAAATAGATGCAGAAATTTAACAATGAAGACACACAAACACCGTTCCGTCACTAAACACTAAAATAAATAACTAAGATTATGTACTTACACTACATTAAACACTTCACAAAACAACCTGCACTATACAAATTCTATAAGTAAGTCCATTGCTTTACAATTTGATAGAGTAGTTTCAAAATCTCATGAGCCGCGAAATGCGCGAAAGGCGTGGCGTATCCGCATAATTCTTCTAATAAGCACGTTGTGAAAACATGACTCAGAATTAGACCACGTGCCTCATTACAACCAGAAATGAATTAAGGCACTTGGGCATCAATAAAGTCAACTGGCGAATATTCGTTATATATATATATTTCTATTGCTTAAATTAAAATAATAAAGAATAGGGCATTTTATTATGATATTTGTAATTGGATCAAAAGCTTGTTTACGCTACGAGAGCTCGAGATAGACTGTGAATAATAGATCTAATGTTTTTAGGACGTAGAATAATTTAGGCGACGACGGTCGGAATTATGTTTCTGCGCATATGAAGGTCAAAGCTCATAAAATTTTGAAACAACTCTACAACTCCTCAATATCATGTTTTAATATCTTTTACAAAAAAGTCACTTTGTCTACATAGATAATAATTTTTTTGTTTATCGAGACCTACTTAATTTTTCATAAATAAAATTATCGATTATTAATTAATTATTATTAATAATTATCTGCTATATTTCTAATTATTTCTTAACAGTCAAACAAGAATGACTTTTTCATAAAACAAAAAATAATAAATTCCTTCCTCTTTTCAATTTCATGCATGAATGCACTGTATATGTACTGTTGTTGCTATACAAAAAAATGGAAGAAAATACAACACGTTATGGGCACTAAAATATGGAAAATCTATTAAATTTGACATTCCGTTAGTATTACTGTTTGTATCAAAGTTAATTTTTAAACTGCACCTGTTTTTGGCAAAACCTGAAAAAAACCTTTATTCTGTCCTCACCGATTACAAGGATTTTAGGAGATACTTAAATTATCAAACGCCATCCATAAAATCGAACCGTGTCCATTATTTAATTTTTCCAAATATATTTGGACACTGTAATTGGGAAGAAAAGTAATTTTCAAAAACTATACAGAGTGTATTTAAATGGAGGGGCACAAATGATACCAGAGATTCCTTGGGTGAAAATAAGTCGATTTAACCTAACATACCTATATCCCAAGTCGCATAATAAAAAAGATAGAAAAATAAAATATAGTTTTTCCTTAATAATTTCCATAATTTTAGTCCGAAATGTTTCAAATTTTCAACAGAGAGGTTTTTTAATGATGGGAAAAATAATATAATAATGATTTTTGAGTGTCGAATACGAGGCGCCCTCTGCAGGCAACGTTTTGCATTGGATATGTAGTAACTTTTTTGCCAACCCTCGTATACAGCTTTTAGTAACAAGATATGAAATATTGGACCTTTTTGAACAAAAAAGGTATACTAATTGAAAATGGCTAAAGTCAACCGTTGAGGAGATATTTTTAATTAAATTATTTAAACCCTGCATTCAAGAAATCTCATTTGAAATAACGGTTCAGGTGAAAAAATATTGCAAAATACTTTTATTGTTAGTTTAAAAATAATTATTAGAAAAGAGAGCAAAACAACTATAAAACCAAGAGTCACTTAAGAGTCGATAGATAATTTAATAGAAACAATTGGCCGACAATAAAAAAAAACGAGATTTTTTAAAGGATATTTTCGAAGTAATTTCCATTTTCTTGTAAGCATAGTCTAATTCTACAATTAAAATTACTACGAATTGAAAAAATACATATGTATGTCATTCTTTACTTCCTCAGCTGCTGCAAAAATTCTTTGACGAAGCATCTCGACACTATCAATAGGGTTGGAATAAACAACATTTCTTAAGTGACCCCATAAAAAATAGTCCATGAGTGTGAGATCCGGTGATCGCGCAGGCCATTTGACTGATTTTGTAAATTGCCAAGGACAACTTCTTCAAGTTCTAGATCGCGAATCAGACGTCTTCTGTCAGTATATTTAGGACGAGGTTGAATGTGTCAGTTTTCTCGAAATCTTATTTCTACCGCCCGCCGCAAAAGTTTGTCTAGCAGGAACACAACGATTAGGATATCTGGCATGATAAAGTCGTACAGCAGCAGCACAGTTCTTGTAACATTCAAAAAATACTTGCAACATATCGACATACTCGTCATTAGTATACATAAATGGTTATTTTATTCAATTCCAAAACTATTTAATATCTAGGATGCAGATAAATAGTGACTAAAATTAATTAACACTTAAAACTAATACTTCAAAATTACAATTTTCGAGTATTATCAAATGACATTTACCTACTCGATTTTTTAATTTATTTAAGCAACTCGAACCTTCATATTCGTGAAGGTATAAATCCGTAACACTAATTTATGAAATTAAAAATATCTCCTCAACGGTTGGCTTTAACCATTTTCAATAAGTATACCTTTTTTGTTCAAAAAAGCCCAATATTTCATATTTTGTTACTAAAAGCTGTATACGGGGGTTGGCAAAAAAGTTACTACATATTCAATGCATAACGTTGCCTGCAGAGGGCGCCTCGTACTCGACACTCAAAAAACATTATTATATTATTTTTCCCATCATTAATAAACCTCTCTGTTGAAAATTTGAAACACTTCTGACTAAAATTATGGAAATTATTAAGGAAAATCCATTTTTTATTTTTCACTTTGACACCCTGTATCTTTTTTATTATGCGTCTTGGGATATAGGTATGTTAGGTTAAATCGACTTATTTTCACCCAACGAATCTCTGGTATCATTTGTGCCCCTCCATTTAAATACACCCTGTATAACTTTCTCATTCATAATATTGACTCGTTTTCATTTGATTTACATTTCTGATATCATATAATTTTTGCAGGAAACCGAACTATATGGGAGTTTGGTTGGGCGTACGGGGTAGGCTGGGGCGCCGCGATATTCCTGTTCGGGGGTGTCATCCTCCTCATGTGCGACAAGGAAAGCGAGGAGATCTACTACAAGGAGAGGAAGATCGTGCACGATAACGATTCGCGGGCCTAGTGGCCACATAGTCTGCCCGATGTTGTTCTCTGATCATAAAAGAGATTATGTCGCTTCTCTCAGAGGGTGCATGACGGATGAGAGGTTTGTGTGAATGGTCGCTCGCCTGTTAATGGATGTTGTACCTGGTCAGTTTGATTTCGGGTCATTGTTTTTTGCTTTGGCTATGTACAGTTTTTTCTTTGACTAGGCTATAGTTTTTGTTTAGTAGCTTTTCTTTTTACGAAGAACGGAATATTGCCGCGGTGTAAGAATGTGCAATTTTACTTTTTTTTACAGTACCGTTTCAGTCCTTGACGCAAAAATAAAGTGTGTTCTTGCAACGTGGCAATATTCCATGATGTATAAGAGTAAAATGGTTAAGGCAAAATATCTTGAGAAAATTTTGACATTTATATTGTTTTTGATGTAAGATGAGTTGTAATCATTTTACTCTACGTAATATTAATGGTACTAAGTTTTACCTTTATTTATTTGTACAAAAAATTTTAATCAAACTGATTAGACTGTATTTATTTATTTTTGTTGCTTGCCTGGTATCATAGCCAGTCAGCCGTTTTTGTATCTAGTTGTTACCATTTTTATATGCAAATTATTCGCAGTTACTCCAACAGGTTATTGCCTTTGCGAACTAACAAGTCAAACGAAACTGAGTTCTCTGCTTGTTAGTTTGCTAGGTTTTAACATTAACTTACCCGATGACAGTTTTTTTTCATTTTCGATGGCAAGTTCGAGTAACCGTGGTAATTTGCAGTGGAATGAGTGAATCGTGCGACTGAAGAGGCAACCCGGGCAGGCTAGATGTATGTAAAAAAGACTTAACCTATCTATTTGGTGAACATGCTGAAAAAACATGTACATAGTTTTCGATTTGCCATAAAACGAAGTTCTTCATGAAGATCGTTAATGCTGCCTTGAAAATTCACGTATTTTTCCCATAAAACTCTAATAAATGTTTTATCAAAAACAACTTATCTAGACTGAGTTACTGAATTTCGATACCTTATTTTATAGGCGTGAGAATCTCAACGATGTGATTTTTATGAAGAATTTCCCTGTGAAACCTCATCATTTATTTAAAGGAGTTTTTTACTCTAACGATGTACACGTTTGGCAGTTTTTAGAGAAAAACGAAGGACCATAACTTCACGTACCTTAATTTTAACTTCTGGACTATGTAAGTCAATGTACAACATAGAACTATTTATCACGACACAGTTTACTAAAAGTTACAATTAAATAAGTGAGGTTATGTCCTCTTTAATTATAGTGATATGTCAATATAGCTGTTAGATTCATGTAGAAATAGACGTTTTTATTTTACAACAGCATTAACTTACATTTAAAAGAAATTTGTGTTTCATATACTGAAGGGCATTATAGTTATACTTTTGATATACAACTTATCAATTTTTATACGAAATAGAAGTAAGAGTTTCTTTCGTTGTTGCTCTTGAAAGATTAAAACATATGCGGCTGCTAAAATTTTGTGATACACCTACTACTAATTGATATTATTTTACACAACTTACAATACTTAACACAAAGTTTAGATAGTTTTATTTATAGAGCAACACTTAAATAGAAAGTTTATAAATACGAACAATATTATTACTCGTTTTTGTATAAAGGTTTATAGGATTACTTTCTATTTTCATAATAGGGTACATAAAATAAGCATATCGTTATTGATAATAAAATTTACGAAATTGAAAATGCTACACTTCGGCTCAGTACATTTTCGCCTCTATTCAGAAAACGGTCTCTTTATTAAGTGAATTAGTAATTTGTTAAGAAAGGACAGTTACAGAATCTCGGTGTGGGAAAAATTGAGGATATACAGCTTTTGAGTTCCACTGCGGAAATGTACTTGGCACAAAAAGATAATACTCTGGACCAATGTTATTTTTTTAACGTTCTCTACTGCCAAAAATTCCCTTGTATAATTTTGTAATTAATTTAGTGTTTAGTTTCAGTGTTAAATCGATTGTCGTACACCTCTGTTCACTTGTCAAATAAACATGTACATATACGAAGTGTTCCAGAATAATAAGCATGTTAAGTAAGTAGCGATGTGATATATAGCTTATGTATATACTAAGTGTAAAAGCCATATATCTATTAAAGAAAATATAAATTATAAATATTTGCTTATATTTATTCATATTCGAATAGTTTTTTTTATTAGTTATTATTTTTGTTTCTTTTTGTATAAAATAACAGTCCCAAATGTGAAGTTGAGGAGTTAAATTATTTTTAAGTTACTTTCGCTAGGTTGTGTTCTGGTAAATAAAATGTATTTTTCAATTTGTGATGTATACTTTTAGTTGTGCACAAAAGTACGGATATTCTATCTTAAAAAATAAATCGAATATTTGTAGTAATGTTTCTTTAATACCTATCCCAAATAATCTGCTAATAAAAAGAATATGTTTGTATTCTGAATAACTATGTCACCACTTCAAAATGATAAAACATATAGTGTTACTAAATTTTTTATGCAAATATTCAAATATTTTTTTTATTTCATAAACACTAAACAACCTTCTAGACGGCCGGCGCCAGGGTATTTGGCACCTGAAGCAAATAACGAGCGTTCAAATAAAAATGTGGTCAAGTTGGTTCTGAAAATTTGGACGTAGGGCATAGCGTATAGCAAATGAACTTAAACGTCATCTGTCAAAGCGCTATATCGCCGCTATCAATTTGAATATTTTCGTTTTAAAAAGCGTTTAAAGTGGTGTTTTCTCAAGAACAAAAAGTGTTTATCATAGAGTCCTACTTTAGAAATGGACGCAAGATTGATGGAATATGGAAGTATTCTATTGAGGAATGTTTCATAGAATTTCAAAATCAATTTCCCGGCGTTGTTGAGTACAAAATTTTTCAAAGTGCAGTTCAGCGTTGTGTTAATGTTTTTCGTGAAACGGGCAGTGTAACAAGAAAAGAAGGAAGCGGCCGACCTAAAAAGCGGACTGAAGAATTAAAAGAAAATGTCCAACAAATAATGGAAAATGCGCCAATAACTTCTGTACGTGTTTTATCACAAATGGTGGGAGTATCAGTCGGTACCTGCCACACAGTGTTAAAAAAAGATTTGCGTTTGTTCTCCTATCGTTTAACTTGTCAGCAAGAACTTCATGAAGTTTTTTTCTGATGAAGCCTGGTTTCATTTAATTGGTTACGTAAACTCACAAAATATGAGAATGCGGTCTTCTGAAAAACCAGATAACTTTTTTGTCGAGGGCCCTCTACACGTTCAAAAATTTGGAGTTTGGTGTGCTCTCAATCGAAGGAGGATTTATGGACCTATTTTTTTTAATGGTACTCTTACTGCGCAAAGGTATAGAGAAGAAATTATCGCTCCTTTTGTTAACCAGCTGGAAGAAAACGAAATTACAAACTTTTACTTTCAACAAGATGACGCAAGGGCACATACGGCAGGCGAGACGATGAATATGTTGAGGGAAGTTTTCCAAAATCGACTAATAAGTTTCAATGCTGAACATGAATTTCCACCGTGGTCATGTGATATTACGCCGTGTGATTTCTTTTTGTGGCATTACCTTAAAAACACTATTTTTGAACTGCCTATTCCTGATTTAAACCATCTGCAGGCTCGACTTATAGACAAGATTCGTGAAATTAACAATACCCCGAGCATCTTAGAAAATGTCTTTAATTCTTTGAGGAACAGGTGTGAAAAGTGCTTGGAACAAGGAGGGGGACACTCAGCAGCTGCTTTAATTTATTGTTATAACAAGGAGGGGGACACTTTCCGCAGCTCCTTTAATTGTTTGTTATTGTTATCACGATTATTCTTTAAAATAAAGTTATATAGTCATTAACGTTATTGAAACTGACAGCTGCTATACAGCTCGTTGAGAAATGAGGTTAAGTTGGTCGCTATAAGCTACTCCCTACGTCCAATGTATCAGAGCGAACTTCGACCACGTTTTTATTTGAACGCTCGTTATTTGCTTGCCGCCCTAAGAAAAAATATATACAAGTTACTACTGTTGGAACAAATAACAAATTTATTAATAAAAAGTTATAAAAAATAAAAAAAACATTTCAATAGACAAAAATAAATAAAAATATTTTAACAAAAAAACGGAAATTATAAGAAACATCTTATAAAAAATAAAACATCCCAATAAAACCAAAAATCAAAAATATTCAATAAAAACAAAAAAGAAACTAAATAATATCACATCCCAACTTTTCTACAATTTTCATTAACAGTCTTCAATAATATCATCGTAAACCAAATTATTTGCTATATCTTTCTCGATAGCAAGAATGGCTAAATCTGTTAACCGTTCCTGCAACATGGTTGATCGTAAATAATTTTTTATAATTTTTAATTTTTAAAGAGAACGTTCTCCACTGGCCACAGACACAGGAATGGTTAACAAAATCCTTAAAGATAGATTACGGCAAAATAATCATTGAGTTAGTCTTTCAAGAACATTTGGCAGTCAGTTTTTCCCGCAAGTCTAAAAATCAGCATCACATGGTTATATTTAAATTAATTTACTTAAATGTAAATTGACTTATTCAGGGTTCGTAGCGGCCAGGAAAAGGCAGGGAATTCGTTATTCTTCATAAAAAAACGGAATAGTCGGAATTTTAAAAATATTCATGAGTCGGGGAATTTGATGTTTGCAACTGGAAATTTTGTAACAGCCGGCCCTGGGTTCTTGAAAGAGAAAACTATTTGTGGTTTTGAAACCTTTATAAGAGGTTCTTAGGGTATAAAAAAGATTATGGAGTCCAGTCGAGAAAAAATGTAATGCATAGACACCAATTAGTATGTAAAAATGAACTACAAGTGACCTTAAATAAGATAAATGACTCATTTGTTGTTTTACAATACGGATTTTTATTTGAAATAAGTTTCAATAACAATTTTAAAGTTGGGCAAATTTCTCAAAAACGGTGGGTATTACCAAGTTCCACCAAGCGTACCCTTTTTACTCAGAAATGACCCCCAAATAAGAATTTGTAGCCAACTGAATCGGAACGTTTTGGCAACAAAAAATAAAAATTCATTAAGTAGGAGTCCTTATGGGTTAAACTTGATTTAATGCATTTTACTAAATTTTATGACAACGGTTTGTACAGCACTTTTGAGTTTTACAAAAAACACAAAAAACATTATTTCAAATTTGACACACTGTATCTTTTTCGATAGCAACATTTTACTAAGATATATATATATCTTCATATTTTGCTCTAAGGATTTCGCCGCTACTGATTTTGTTCCATTATTAATCCAGGGTCCACGGTGTGTAAGAAAAAATATAATTTAAATCATGCACTGAATATTGCGGAAAGATAAAGATTTAAACATAAGTGTATAAAAATATTTATTAAAATAGTTATAAAAAGTAAGATAATAATAAAATACATACATACAAATATGTCATTTAAGACTATATACGTCGTATCAAGTTTTTGTCTCCTTGCATTAGGCATTAGGCCAATCAATAAAGCAATAAATCAGTGATTTTGTGACAAAAATATTAGTACTAGTAGCAAACGGACTGTGCCATCATATAAAAGACAGTCCGTAGATATTGAAGTGACTGGATTAAATCGCTCACAAACTAAAATGGATATAAAGGTGTTATAGTCTTACGTGGGACACTTTGTATAACAATATATTAAAAATTACATATGTGTATATATTTTTTTATAAAAATAGTAACTTCATGACACCAGTCATTTTAATTTTTTGTTTGGAGGTGCCTCAGTGTTTATATCACTTTCCAACTCTACCACATCTAAACTTTGTTGAACAATTATGTCATTAACTGACTCTGTACTTTGTATTTGAATTGAATGAATCCTCACAGAATTATTATTCAAAGAACTACCTGCTTTCATTTGAAGCTCTGTGCTTGACCTCCAAGTATTCCTTGGTGGTGAATCAAGAATTCCGATATCGAAGCCATTAAAAATTGTCTCTTCCTCAACAACAGTCAATGATTCGTCTGAAACATTTTCTTCTGTTTCAAACAATTTATGTTTAACATTTACTTCAGCTACTGACCTAAATTCATCCAAAACTTCCTCTATTAACTTGGCAATTTCCAAATTAGTAAGAGGATCTTCGTGTTTAACACAAATCTCAACGCTTTTCGGTTTTAAGAATTTTAATAGCTCCACTCCTTCTTCATACGAAGCATGCGTAGCGTAACACACATAATAAGTTTCAGACGAATTGGAAGAAAACCCATCTTCCAGATTGTCTTGTGTCCATCTAAAAGCAGATACTTTAATTGTTCTTATTTTGCTATTCAAAGCTTTATCACAAACGTATTGGTAAGATATGCCACAGCTGCAATGAATTTGTGTTGCATTACAATCTAAAGTCACAGATTTATCCATTTCAGGAATGGTAGAGTAGAAATTGAAAACCTCTCTGTTCACATGTACCGGCATTCCAGTTTTCTTATAAATTTCATTAAACATATACTCATAACCATATTTTGCGCTAGTAAATAACTTTATAGAAAAATGTTTTCCTTTGTCTGTCCATCCTTTGATTATCTTACATAGTTCTTCTAAACTCTCTTCTCGTTTTGGAAACTTCCGATAACTTTTCAAAAAGAATGTTGTGTCTAGATAGATCGTTTCGATTTGTTTAACTTGTTTGTAGGAATCATAGAATGCTTTTAGTTTCTTTATATCATTCTTGTTTATTCTATAATCTCCAGTGTACAATATACGAATATTGGTCTCGAAAAGGAACATTACTGATCCAGGACAATGTCCTGCAGGTATCGGTAAAACAGAAATGTTGCCTCCTTTTAATAACAGTGCAGTTGGTGTATAAATATCAAGTATTTTAATATTATTTTTTAATGAAGGGTATAAAAGTTTTAATATAGCACATGATATTTCTGATGCATAAAGGTATTTATTATTTTCCAATAAATTGTTTTGAAACCTGTGGGTATGCAAACCTACCATGTGGTCATAATGACAGTGTGACAAAAAATATGCTTCTGATGTTAGATTATTTTCATCGAATCTGTCCACGCTAATGTGAGAAATTTCTTGAATTTTCCCGCTGAAAGTGCTCATCTTGTTTGTATGTAGCAATCTGTGAATTTCAAACTTCCCGCCGAGTGTACAGGAAGTAGGCAGTTGTTTTGGCGGTTGTTGAGAAGTTGTAGGTTATTTATCGCTAACCTATTTTCGATAATTTTCACAGCTATAAAAACAGCGACAGTCAAGAAAATATCTCAATTTTATGCATTGGAAAATGTCAGTTTTATAATTACTTACATTTTGCCGAGGGTGACAAATTGTTGCAATTTGTGCAATCATAACAGAGAACCTACTACCGAGCAGCCATTTGCCCACAGCAAAGTGAAGGTCGACGCTGGCTTTACTAAAGCTTGGTTAGGTTGTCAAATTCTAATACTTTTTATCATGTAAGTATACGAATTTACTTAAAAATTGTAAATACAACAAACTTATCACGTTTGTTCGACTTGAGGCTTGCGTCTCGTATATAATTTTTGTAGAATTCAGTGGTGATGTAATTGTAATTTTCCTTTCTTTCAATGAAGTTTGATGTGTAATGGACGTTTACAGCGCGTAGTAACCACTAATTTTACAACGTATTATTTCGCCGTGTAGTGACTAGTCATTTTCTTTAGAACGAGTTAAAAATTTGGACGATTTTTTTTTTGTTTACCTTTTTCAAAATAGTAAACTTTACTAACCTCAATTAAGCATAACCTCACTTGTCAAAATATCAATAACCTAAAATTTTTGCTTTGGGATGAGTCCATTTACCATTCCTTGCATTTCCTTCAAGATCTGCCATACATAGGCGTAATTGATTTGATATTCGGTCGAAAAAATAACAAGAATGAGGTCATTGAATTATTGCTGGGTATGTAGGGGAATTATTGTGTCTAGCATTATGGTTTAAAGAAAATCAAATTTTTTAACACCCATGAATAATTTATCATAAAAACTTGTCATGAAAACTGACTGATACTTCATAGGCACTCATTTAATTACAAAACGGTGTTTAAAATTGAGTTTAAAATATTTTTTCATGTTAATATTTTTTGGCCAAATCAAAAATATGTTACAAATTAATAGCAGATCCCTACTAGATATGAGAACAAAAGTTTTAGGATATGTAGTATATATGATAAAAATTGAATTGAAGCAAGTTTTTATTTACTTTATTTATTACAAATTATATTGCTTTTAAAAATGTTTCACCTGTTTATGTACTAACTAAAATATATTATTACAAGTACTATTATTGTGTTATCAAACAAAAGGGAATTTTTCTAACATTAATTCAATTATTAATTCAATTCAATATCAGTTATTTTTGTTTTGAAAAAAAAATGTATATATGCATAAGTTAAGACCTTGCATTCCCAACAGGAGTCAAAATGTTTGAAAACACCTAACAATGGAGGAGTCTTTCGGGTTAACATGGGAGGACTCCACGACTGTTGTTCAGGCGGAGGAGGTGATCTGCGGCATTGAGAACGAGATCCTCCCGGCAGAAACAGAAGAATTTACTGGCGTCTCTGAGGGAGTAACAGAAGAGGTCGTACAGGAAACACCCGAGAATGGACAGGGTGATGTACCGGTGGAAAGAATTATGTATCTCACAGATGGAAATGTGCTAGTCATGCAGGAGACTGCCGAACCCGAGTACCAGGAACAGCTGATGGTTTCAGAGGAGATTATTACAGAACAGTGGGGAGAGAGCTGCCCAGAAGAAATAGGTGAGAAATTTACGTTAATATGATGCGTGTATAATGTAGGCTCGTTTCCATTATTTTTTAATTTTTTTGGGAAGATTTGCTTAAAATATTCAATAAATATTTCATTGTTTTTTATTATTGTGCATTTTTTATAAAAAAATTAACACCCACACATGGTAATAAAAAACTGTCATTGTAGTGATTGAGGTATTATAATTGAGGAAAATTTTGAGCCCTCAAAATTTCAATCAGTAGTTAAAAACCTTAATGCCGTTGACAGTCACATGAGGACTAATAATAGCTTTCCTCTGTTTATCTATTAACCCTTTCACTGCTCCAGACGTATATATTCACACGCGATAAACAATTGCGCACGGCGCGGTAGCTACGTTCAGACGTATTGCGCAGCGAAAGGGTTAATGGTGTTAATGTGTTCTCATCCAATGAAAATAATAAATTTGTATATAAATATTGTTAGTTTTTATCCATTTGAATCTTCATTGTTTTTTTCTTTTTATTGCTATTATGAAGCTAACTGAACAAGTAAATTGCATAGTGTTTGTCCAAATTTTCATTTCACATTTGCTCCTGCACAAGCATGTGTTAGTTCTACATCAACGTGTATATTGACATTTAGAGCTATATTAAAATTAAGTATAAATATATAAATTCTATGGTTTGATTCTTTAATAGAATGAGTTATTTGCATTGGTGTTTGCTAGTCGCTACTATTGGCCATTGATGTGCAGCTGAGAACTGCAAATGTTGGCCTTCCAAAAAACTGTTACAGATTCTTAAAAATATAAACGGAAAACTTTTCACAAATTTTCTTTCAGTTTTTGTGCTACACATGGTATTCTGGCTACTGTCACTTTATTTTCTGCCTTTATCTGCTGTCGGTTGTTATTGGTAGTAAGAAATAACAATCATAGCGTCATCTCATTTGCATGAGTATTTATTCAATTTTAAATATAAAGAATAAATTCTAATAACTATATTTTTTAACCTTTTACCTGTTTACAATGGATAGGATTCACAGCTCAATTTTTGTACGAGTGTTTCATGAATATTATAGGAATATACAGGGTGTAACTTTAAGTGGGGGGTCAGTTTTTTTTAGGGGTAATAGTACCTGTTCTAGATTTTTTTTTTAATCAAATCAGTTATATAGTTCGTCTTTATTAATTTACCATTCGTGATTTGATTTTTATTCCTTTTGGTATTATTAAGTGTGTAGCCTGAGGGGTTATTTCTTTATTTATCTATCTACCGTTATGACCAGTATCATAACGAGTCTAGATTTCAAAATAGTTTACTATTTAATTCTCGAAAAGGAGTTTATAATTATCATTACACTTTAATTTAATACGTGGGAACTTAGAAATGTTGTATGTTCAGATAATGAATTCCAGACACTTACCGTAGTCGCCCATATACAATGTAATCCAGTGGTTGGTTGTATAGGGTGACACTTATGTTGGAATAACAAGAAAACACCAAAACTTTCCAGCAAGGGTTTTAAAACTAAGTAGACTGCTCAATGTGGAACCCAAGGAAAAACTGCCTTTTTTTCAGAGATCTCTTCTGAATTCGATACCTCGCTTCGCCACGCCCATTTCTTGGGTCCAGAAGTTTTTGTTCTTATCTTATTGGTGGACTCCCTGAATATCTGGATGCTTTGGCATAACTATACCATGTTAATAGTTATATAATTGACTGAAATTTACAATTGTCTAAATAATTTTGAAACTAAACTTACAAATAACCCTACACCTTCCTCTTGTGACCTCGTACCACAAGCGATACGAGACGGGCTGGTCAAACTTATCATTTTATTGTTTTATGGCTGGGAAATGAACCCGTCGGAAAAACCAGCTTTTCGTAATGATATCTTTCTTTTCCAATTATTATGAATTTAACAATTTGATTTAATTCTAATTTGGAACCTCTATGCCTTCCTTGTGTTTTCGCGCGATATTAAAAATATGGGTTTCTTTGTTCTGTCTCCAGCATAGGCTGGTGTATCCCAGACATGACATGGTGATATGTTTTCAAGAAGTATTTCTGACAACCGTCCCATAAATTACACGGATCTGGCTTTTGTTACAAGTGTGTACAGGTGAAAATGTTCAATGACAGATAGGCATGTGGTGATTTTCTATGCCATTACATACTGCATTAAAATATGTTGTCTAAATATGTCAGATCTAAATTGAAAGACAGAGCGTATTGACACGACACGAAACATGAAAATGGTCTGATAATTTGGTGAATCGGATAATCAAGAGCCAGTTATACGAGATTCTACTGTATTTTTTACAAATCCAATGAAAGATTAAATAATTAAATTGTAATTATGCTTTTTACTACTTTATGTAAAAGTATTCTATGTTCATATATACAGTGCGTTCTCCCTACAATGGACAGCAAATGTGCAGTGGAAAATATCCGTTGTTAGGAGAGATATATCTAAATAAAAGAAAATATATATTTTTTTAGTATATTTAGTAACTTAATTTTTTTTACGTTTTTATTGAAACAAGTTATTTTTATAAGATTATCATAAAACTCGCCATTTTTTTAAGCTTACAATGACATATGCATTCTATTATTTTAAAAAAATGTATTAATCGTTTGTTTTAAACCAGTAAAGGACCCCGCACTTTTCTTATGGGAAGTGGGTTTTGGCCAATTTTTTTGAAACTTTGCAGATTGATAGTTCTTAACATGTAGATCAAAAGTCTCAATGGGCACAAAGCCTCAAATCCACCCCTTCCCCGCCAAAAACTGACTCCAAGTAGCGAGGAGTTTACTTGTCGTTTTATGAAAAAGAGTTTCACATAAAAGTTTTTTATTTTAATGAAATCTAAAAAAAACTATTCTTGTGTTTTTTTCGAAAAATCAATGTTTTAGCTTTAAAATGCCACCAAAGTTTAACACAGAGTATACGTATGACAGCTATAGATATACACGTGTGTTAAGTTTAACAGCGTTTTGCAACTTGAATATTACTTTTTGTGTGATAAAACAAAAAATTTTCAATATCTCCCAACTTTTTGCAGGCCTCTTTAATATTTTCTGTCTGAAGTAATACATTATTCTTCATTATTGTAAAATAACTCTTCGATATTTAAGATTAAGAAATGTATTAAACATCTGCCCATAGAAGGAAATTTTTTTATTATTCCTCAAAAGTTTTACTGTCTGTTGTTTAGATTGTCCGCCGAAAGGAGATTTAAATGCAAAGGTAGGCCTATAATGACGGGGTGTGTTTTAAAAACTATCCTTCCACTAGAGATGTCCATTGTTCAGAGATGTCCATTAAAGGAGAGTTCAGTGTAGTTATATACAGTTTAGTCTAAGAATTTTTGAATAATTTTTGCAAGATAAAAAAGTTGTGTAAGTCAACAAATTAAAAAAAAATATATATTGTTATACAAAGTAAATAAATAATTTAAAGTTTATTTGGTAAGAATAGATACTCTTTTTTTATTGGGTATTTATTTACCATACTGAAAATGAAAAAATTGTAAATAAATAATTCTTTATGTCAAGAAAAATCAGTTAAGGAGTTAACTTTATAAATTTAGTTTTGCCTAACTAGACATATCTTGCACTGAGAAAGTAGATAATAAATTTTCACGATTGCATGATAATAACTAAAACACATTACCTACACAGTTAACGTTTCGAAAAATTTCACTGTTTTCGTTGGTTTCGTTAGTTATTAAATTGACTTATAGTATGTGATAATTTTTTTTGATTTATTTATCTACTTCCCATAGAGATGTAAGGTATCGTATAATATTTATTTTATTATTACTTACCGCTTCGTTGAAAATATTCAATCAACTATCAAAATTTAAGTAATGATTTGAAACACATTGTAACGGCCTTTCTAGGTGTGAGCAGAAGAAATAAAGCTTATCCCTGTTTGGTTTTTAACTGAAGTAGGTGGGTGGTTGGTAGGAAGGTGTGGGTAAGGCACCCCTTAGGAAATGGGGCTCAAAAACAGGCAGGAAAGCCGACACATTATTTTCAGACGAAACAGTAATGGGAACTCCTGAGTGCTCCGAGAGTCAATGACAACCCTTGCAACTTCAGGGGCAAAGAGAGAAATATCTTGATATGAAAGCCGATACCAAGGAAGAGAGGATTTACTTTGTGTTGAGGAATGTCGATCAACACTCCAGTATCTTCACGCTCGGAGCTCGGCTTTTATAGCCATTTGGTGAAATAGACAAACTGTTCATTGGATATTAGCACTTAGAGCTACATCAAATAGAAAATTAGGTGCATACAAAATAGACATCGGAAAAGACAATCGTTCATCGGACATTAGCATGTGACTAAATTAGTTGGAGTTCATTACAACATATCACTATTTAGCATAACAAACATGGACTCTTTTGGTTTTCTTTTTTCATATTACTTTTTTTTTAAATTTTATGTTGCATTGAATAACAACCATTTTGTCTCTCATTTAACACATTAACTACACATTTAACGTGTTTCAATGTTTATTCTGTAGTCATGAAAAATTATAATCCACTTTCTTTTAGAACTGCATTTTGTAAGCTATAACCAACAACTAACAATGGTAAAAAAATAATGTCTTTAATGCTACAATAAAATTAATTTGTGAAATTAGGTAATTTAAATTTGTTGTTTGTGGTGTCATTCAGTGTAACCGATAACACAACCTAATTCTTGGTCATCTGCCGTCTAGACAACTCCCATGCTGACAAAACGGATCCTAATGTAAAGAAACGTGCTTGCGGAGAACCTCAAAACGGAATGAATTTTTGCTATTTTTAGACTCTTGTTCTTACTTTGCTTTTGCCTTTAGACTGTCCTTTTATTTATCTTCCCGATTCTCGATCCCACTAAATGATGTCACGAATTAGTGTAACAGCAAACACCCATTTTAAAAATTTATTTTGTATGCTAAACTTTAGTAATTAATTATTAAGAGATTTCTAATATTTTCAATACATTATATAGTATACCTAGATTACTACTAGACATTTAAAAAAATTTATACAAGTTGCCCGTTTCCACTTAGGCAAAATTAAGTTTATAAAATCGACCCCTTGATTTATTCTTTTTGGTACACTGCCGGCCCTTTGAAGGTGGACGATTTATTTTTCTAATGTGACGTGGTCTACTTTTTATTTTGACAAGTTTTTATATGTCGGTGTCATTAGTAATTTGCTTGGTAATTCAAGATGGCGCGTTTAACGGAACCAGGGAAAGCGAGAGCTATAACTTTACTTCAGAATGATTGGTCATTGCGGATGATCTGCATGTATGCAAGAACAGCATATTTAAACTCAAAGAAAAATGGATTGCGGAGGGTCACGTACATTATGTTCATGGAGGTGGATGTCGAAAAGTAAACACCACCTAAGAATAAATCCTTTTGACATGGCAGTAGCGGCTTCATTTGAGACGAATTTTCCTGGATCAGTGCGAACTGCAAGGAAGCGAGTGAAAGATTCGGAGCTGAAGAAATATGTGGCCACAAATACAGTTGCTTTGACTCCCCAGTATAAAGAACAGAGGTTAGAGTTTGCAAGACAATTTGTAGGAAGCCCAGACACCTTCTGGGGGAATATTATATTTTCGGACAAAAAAAGTTTTTAGTGTTGCTCCGATGCTTCTGTCCGTGTCTACCCACCAGAGATTATAAGGTATTCGGAGCCTTATGTGAAACCCACACAGCGCAGCGATGGATTCTCCATTAACGTTTGGGCTTGGATAAGCTGCCAAAGTCCTGATGTTTGTTGTGACTATGCTGTATCCTCAGAATTTCACTTTCAAGCAGGATAATTGTCGTCAGAATGGTTCATTAAGAACATTAATTTTATCAATGCCATGTAGATTGCAGTGTTATAGACAAAAATGGTGCTTGGACAAAATACTAACTTTACGAATCACGTTTCGTTGACGGCGAATGAATGGCCGTTAGAATGTATAATATATTTCAGTATTGGAAAAATAAATAATTTGCTACCTAATTTTGATTTGTTTTGCTCACTAGAACTAGTATGATAGACACACATTAAATTTGACATAATGACAGCCGATTTGAACCTCACATTTTCAAGTCAGTTTCACAAAGGCCAATTATAGACAATTTGCTTATAAGAGTCATCCACTTTCAAAGGTCCGGCACTGTACAAGGGGCTATTTGTTTAACATTTTTTCCTTTTCAGCCTGACAGAAATACCTAATCAAATAAAAAGAGTTACGAATAAATAATTACAGACAATACAAGAAAGATTCTGTATATCAAAAAAAGGCATACCATAAATTTTACAGTTTAATAAAATTTATCGTATAAAACATTGAACTTCACCGAACCATGTTTCAGTGGTGGGTTCAGAGGAAGCCGTTGGCGGCACGGAGGAACAATCTCAGGAGGACTGTGACATTCCCCTGCCCACCGACCAAGATGAGTACACGGCTGCCAGACCATACCCCTGCGACTTTTGCAGTCGTCGGTTCCGAAAGAAAGCCAACCTGATGAACCACATGGTGGCTCATCAGACAGATAGGCCTCACGGTTGTAATCTGTGTGGGGTACGTTACATTAGGAAATGTGATCTGATGAACCACCTCAAGATCCACGCCTACATACCTGAGGCCGACGGGCTAGAGGAGGAAGATATGCAGGCCTTGGAGGATTCCTCTGATGCCGAGAAGGCCAGGAAGAGGGGGAAGGCCCCACAGAAGAGGCGGAGGAAGAATAAGGTGAAGGAGGAATATGATTCATTTGAAGGAGACGACACAGGTACATATTTATTTATTTTTATTTTATTTGCAGATATTGTTATTTTTAATAAGCTCATTGACAAAATTGTCTAATATTTTTAAATTTTCATAATTTCTATTTGTAAAAATAAAACCTGGGTGAATGAAGTGATTTAAACATCATGAAGAAGTTTATTTTAGCACTTTTAAGTGTAACAGGGTTCGTAGCGGCCGGGAAAACCGGGAATACCGGGAAAAGTCAGGGAATTTGTTATTCTTCATAAAAAACAGGGAATAGTCAGGGAATTTTGAAAAATATTCATGAAAGTCAGGGAATTTGATGTTTGCAACTGGAAATTTTGTGAAAGCCGGCCCTGGGTTCTTGAAAGAGAAAACTATTTGTGGTTTTGAAATCTTTATAAGAGGTTCTTAGGGTATAAAAAAGATTATGGAGTCGTCGAGAAAAAATTTAATCCGTAAACACCAATTAGTATGTAAAAATGAACTACAAGTGACCTGGATTTTTTTTTATAAGTCAGGAAAAGCCAGGGAATTCTTTATTACTTTTGAACTATGAACCCTGTGTAAAAAAATTGATTCTAATTGTTATAAAAATTAAGGAGATTTACTTTGACTGCAATGCTTTTGGGTTGGCAAATACTATGCTTTTGATTAAAAAAAAGTATACATAGTTGGTAACGGGTATTTCTTCTTTAAGATCTAATTACTTACATATTTCTCAGTGTTACTAAGTACTCTACTGAGTTTGAATATATTTTTGAGGAATTATATTCTATTCTCTAGTTCATATAACAGGAATTCTTCGTTATACGTGGCATTTTAACCGATCCTACACATTTCTGTTGAATTTAGGTCTGGGCAATATGGTGGCCAAATTAATGTTTGATTACGGACTACAAACAAATCCTTCATGTCCATACAACCAATATATAGCAAAACATGGTTTTGCAGGATTGTTTTGATTTAAAGTCAGTTATTTGTCCAATCACTTCCACGAATCACAAATTTCTCTCAACTAATACCTCTCCAAAGCATTATACTCCAAACCTAACATTCTGCATGGGATTGCAGCTGGTGTAACATTCCCCAACTCTTCTGTAGATGAGTCCATTCATTTGGATTCCATAATTGTATTCTGGTCTTCAGAGATAATATTCTCTTTATGTATGTGTTAGAATATTTTTCCAATGCTCAATATTTCTCTTAACATGTTTTCTGACAAATTCTAATCGATGAGATTTGCGATTTTGAAGAAGACGTGGAACTACGGCAGGCCATTTTGGTTTCTTGTTCCCTGTTTCTTTTGATCATTGTCTCACTGTTTTGAATTAACATTAAATTGTCTTACTTTTAGTCCGATTTCGTGTAGAACTAAGAATAAAAAAAACTGCCACTCCTTGTCTTCACTGGATACAAAACTCTTGAAAACTTTTTAAAATGTTCGATATTGTAAATTGACTCCTTACACGTCATTGTATCTATATCCTTCGTTATATAAAGCTATACGATTTGTGCCACATCAATGTCTTAACTGGTGGAATACTGTTGTTTTAAATCAAATAAAATGCAAAATTGAATCTCTGTCATTTATCTTCACCACAAAAAACTGAATTCAATATCGATTCAATACGTTAATATATGTTTCTTTGTTCCACACCGCAGTAATTTCTTTCACAGTAGTCCCTTCTTTGGTGCTCGCAGACTTTAACAAGAGGTCTTGTGCCTTTTTTTATCATTTTTGGCGGTCGACTTGAATTCTTTCCACAGAAGTCTATGCTGTCAGTTCCTTGGTACGTTTTAATTATATCTTCAATTGTGGTTTTAGGCATATACACACTTTGCCACCAATGTTATTCATTGATTTTCATCACTTATGTTCTTGAATTAAAATTACACACATTTTTTGGAGATTACTAAGCCACAGGTAATAGTTTTGGACAATATTGTAAAATCACATATACCGAACACACGAATTATAACAGTAGACATTTTCAATTTTCAGCACACACTTTTTGGGGCAAAAGATGCTGCAAATTATATCAGGGGTTTACTCATCATAACACATACAGGGTGTTTCTAAAATAGGGTTCCAAATTTCTGCTGCGTTTATAACTCATTAAAATAAGCCAAAAAGTTCCTATTAACATGTGCCCTAAAGGAATGTTCCCTTAGGAAGTTATATGCCCTTAAAAGGGCTCAAACAAAACGGTTTTTTTTTTTCGGTTATTGACAAAACGGTAGCAAATAAATAGAAAAAAATTTATGGGTCTTACATAACTTTTTACGTTAAATAACATGGGCTACTCCGTTTTTCTACATGCAAATCATATGCGTCCCATTTAGGTTGGTGAAGGAGGTTTTTGGCCCGTAATTTTTTTTATTTCAATTTTTTCACAATTTTTTCACAATTTTCTCTACAGATTTATAAAATCAACAATTTTATGTAAAAAATATTATCTTTGTCCAAATCGATATTTCCAATGGTTTTCAAGTAAATTGAGTTTAAAAATTTTAATCCCATTATTTTCTATTTCACATTTAGCTATTGTTTGCAGTAGTAATTAGTTATTTAATTAGTAAGTGTAACTCTAAAATTAAATAGTCTTAGTTTATGTCCTAAATTATTTATTAAATGATCGAATCCTTCATAACTGCAATTTATTTGAAAAAAAAAAACAGTTTGTTTGAGCCCTTTTAAGGGCATATAACTTCCTAAGGGTGCGTTTTAGGGCACATGTTAATAGGAACTTTTTGGCTTATTTTAATAAGTTATAAACGCAACAGAAGTTTGGAACCCTATTTTAGAAACGCCCTGTACAAGTATTTGTAAAATAGTCATCGAAGTATTATCTAAAACAGTTGTAGACCGAATTGCCAAGGTTTGGACAAGTTTTTCCGAATAAATATGTTTCATTTTATTCATTTCAAACTACAGTTCTATTTGGATGACTCCCTATAAGTTTACGGAAATCATTTAAGATTATTTTCAAGTAAAAGTGATAACAAAAAGTATTCGATTAATTTATCCAAGTGTAATGAGATTATTTTATTTATAAAATTGTGAAGGTAAAATAAACATATTTATAAAATTTTCTCCACCAGTCGCTTCCAGTTCCCGTTCTTACAACTACGTAGATGAAGACATGAAATTGATGGAGCAGATGGAGAATAATAGCAAAGCCGAATACACCGAGTACATCCCCGAGGAGCAGACCGAAATGAGGTACCCTGTAACGGATCCGAGGAAACCCTTCGTCTGCCAGCACTGTGGCATTGGTTTTGCTCGAGAGAAGGCCATGCTTTCACACACCCGAGTCCATGCCGAGGGCGACAGTCCTTTCGAGTGCCAGAAGTGCGGCGAGATGTTTTGGGACCCTGTTCAGATGCGTGAACATGCCAAGCAGAAGCACGGGGACGTGGAGGACTTTGATGATGATGAGGACGAGGACTATTCGGAGGAGGAAACCAAATATGGAACATTCTACTGCACGACCTGCGGCCTGTCCTTTCACCGGCAGGACAATCTGAGACGCCACCAGCGTGTCCATATCAAGGAGGAGTTTGTGAACGAACACGAGTTTGGCCATATATGCAACGTCTGCGGAGAATCCTTCCAGGAGGCTCTCGATTTGTTGGCCCACGCAGAGGTGCATGCTAGGGGAACGGAGCATCGGTGCATGATTTGCGGGGAGAGCGGAGCCGATGAAAATGCTGTCGCTGTCCATGTTCAGGTAAACTAATTATTTTGTGGATAATTTTCCTACTAATGCATCCTACTTATTAAAAAAAATTTTTTTGAATGTACAGGGAACTCTTACAATTTTGTAGAAAAAAAATGAAAAAGGTCAGTTTGAAAATGATTTAGAAATACACTTCTGCACTGACTTACGCAAGGCAAAGGGCGCGGCGGTAGCCGAAGCGGCCAAGGCTTGCCTACTGAGGCGAACCAGGGCTGTGCGGCAAAACCGTAGTGGGTTCGAATCCCGCACGCGGCGGGAAAATTCGAAGGAATTTTTCTGTCGTACCCATGGATGTTTGTGATTGTTAAGGTGGAGGGTAGTATGTAAGTTAGCAGGCAAAATGGGCCAAGCATGGCCTAATTGCTAGTAAGCTTCATAACCTGACTTACGCAAGGCAAAGTATGTGGTCAGCGACCGGCACAGCGGAAAAGTGAAGTAAAAAATGAACGGACAAAAAATTTAAAGAATTGAGGCCGTCTTACCCAGTTTCTACGAACTAACACAAGTTTCTGGTTCTTGTCGTTTTGAACTCGTAAATTTTTGTCGGCAGCTATGATACGTTCACGTAAATCATCAATAGTATCCACTTCGGTGCGATACACACATTTTTTTAAATATCCTCACAACAGAAAGGGACTCGTGTATGATATGCCAACCTGTTGATTGGGACATTCCTTATACTTGTTGAGCAATTTGCCTGGTACTCATTTGGGGATTCTCTTCAACAATCTCTATAATGTGTTCCTCAGCTACTGCAATACGCCCTGAATGAACCTCCATCTGTTCCAAGATTTGGTTACAAATTTACCCTGTCACGCCGCATTGCACTACCTCGGTAAAAGTAACTTTTGTCATATCTAACGGGAAATCGGTTTGCATATAGACGAGAAGCTGCTAAAGCATTTTGTCTTGCTATCATAAATTAAAATGATATCCATCAACTCCGAGTTGTTATACACGTAAGCCGTTTTTGACACTTGAAAAACTAATGTAAGCACTATCGCAACAATGATAACACTAAAATCGGATATCAGTATTCGGAATCGCACAGAGCACAACACGAATGACGCTAGAGACTACAGTAGCCCAACGATGTAAAGGTTGAAAATACTACAACTTCAATAATTTTTTTCTCAGAAACTGTAAGGATTTTACAAAAACTTGCTTTGCGATATTGACTCCATTTTTTGACGCATCTATTCCCCAATTTTTTTGCATAGGTTGCGAATCACTGTAGTTCAGCAATTAAGTATTTAACATTGTTCGCATTTGTAGAAAACACTTTTTTTGTGGGAACGGCACAATTAAAGTAATTGACATGATTATTTTACACTTACTTCGGTTCACAGGCAAAGCATGGCAAGAGCCTGCCGCCCAACACCTGCATGCTGTGCGGCCGGACGTGCAAGGACCGTCGCACCCTCCTGAAACACTCCTGGGAGCACTCGAAGGAGAAGATGTTTGCGTGCAGCAAGTGCGCCAAGACCTTCCACAACAAGGCTAGGCTGAAAAGGCACATGCTTTCGCACAGGAACAAAGTGGTGACCTGCGATGTGTGCGGAGAGGATTTCCCCGACGGAAGGTCGCTCATGAATCACCGGCACAGCCACAGTAGCGTCTCGGGCAGGCAGTTCCCCTGCAGGGAATGTGGCAAGACGTTTGGATCGAGAAGCTCGCAGCAGATTCACATAAGGATTCATACGGGTAGGTCAAAATAAATTTTTTACCAATCGTAACATTTCTAGTACTTTTTTCCAAAATAAATAAATAAGATTTTCTCCGTATCAAAATATCTTCAGAATTTTGTTCCATAATAAACAAATGATGGTTATCCTGCCTCTATCTATGAAAACATTTTCTGTTCTTTAAATAAAGTTTTCCCTGTCCAAACATCTTCAGACTGTTTTTGCTAATAAACAAATTTTCCGAACTTTTTTTTTTTCGTAATATACAGGGTGTTTCATAATGATGTGTAAATATTTTAAGGAGGTGTTTAGAAAGTAATTTTAGGGGGGTACTTCCTATATATTTTTTTGATTTGAGCCCCCCTTGAGAAAATATTCAAATCTCAAAATGGCCAAAAAAAATCCTAGAAATTTGAATTTTGATACACATTAACAACTAGTTGAATGGTATTTTTTGGTAGTCTTTTTTTTCTGGTTTATGTCTTTGAATGAAAGAAATTAGCACCCCTTGGTTTTATTTCTCTCACAACTTTTTTCTAAGTTAGCCACCTCCAACAAGTAAAATAGCTCTTAATACTACATGTCATTTAGGAACTTTTTACCCTTCCCATTTTTTCATATCCTTAACGGTTTAGGAGCAAAAAAATAAAATATTTTTCGTAAAAAAACTCCCTACGTAATAATTCGTAATTTCCATTTATATGTGTACTTTTTAACTACATGAAACGTTTCTATTTACTTCTGTTCTATTTTTCTCTATCTAGGCGAGAGGCCTTATGGCTGTCGATTCTGCTGGAAAGCATTCGCGGACGGCGGCACGTTGCGCAAGCACGAGCGCATCCACACCGGCGAGAAGCCTTACGCTTGCGCCGTCTGCCCCCGAGCATTCAATCAACGGGTGGTCCTAAGAGAACACATCCGCTCTCACCACTCGGGCCCCGACCCTAAATATACCCACAGCATGACGCCTTACTGCTGCTCCGTCTGCTCAGACATGTTCGCTACGTCCCAGGACCTCATCCTGCATCTAATCCATCACTGCGACATGAACACCGCCATGAAACGGCAGCCCCAGGTGGGCCCCAGGAAGTACAAACGGAGGAGGAAGCTGAAGCCGCACGAGCTTGAGCTGATTTCAAACCGCATAGAGGAAGACGACAACGATAATATGGACGGCATGGAGGAGACTTTCACGGAGAGCGACGAGGAACGTGACAGGAGGAAGAGGACTCCGAGACGGCCAGCTAAAAGGCCTCCCCCTGCTCCCGTCTCGCCCAAGGATCCGCTGACAGAGACCTACACCGACTTGTACAACAGTTGCTCCTCCGCCATCGAAAACATCAACTCGATAGTCAATTCCAAGACGACTCCCACTAAGGCGAAACCCAAGAAGTCAAAGGCGGACCAAGCGATGCCTTCCAGACCCAAGATGATTCACACGCAAAAGACGAGGGTAGCGGTGGAAACAGGGGAAGACGGTAGGGTGAGGCACAAAACTAAGACGTTGATCACAAGGACGCAGCCTGCTGAAATTAAGTCTGCCACAGGTAAGAAGGTTTTCAATTGAAAACTGTGTGTTTTTTATATACAAAATTCTCAAATAGATATGCATGGTCCATTTATTTTTTTTTTACTTCATGACAATTTTTTCATTTCGTAAAAACGTTATTGTTGTCATGTAAGATTCTTTTCGATTACCATTACCACATTAATTTTTTTAAATATAGCTCAAATCTTAGAGCACAAAGATTCCTAGGCATCACAGCTGAGAATTCTGGAGTTTTAAATCATTTTGTTTTTTATATTTTCGTGTTGTGAAGGAGATGTCATCTCAAGCCACTAGGTATAAATTTAATGATTTGCCCTTCATAGATTTATTTGTAGAAAAAGAATTATTTAAATTAAAAATGAATGTCATTCATTGGTAAATTATACAATTTAATATTGTTTTTTCATTTTAAATTTGAAAAAGGCATTTTTATATATTTTTTTTATAAATATATATCGGCTGGGAGCGCTGCTGTTATGGCTGGGGTAAAAATTGTTCCTCACTTGCACGGCCTGCGGTCCCTAAGATTACATGAAGTCGATTGATCTGTAACAAAAATATCAAAAAGATTTCTTTGAATAGTATGTTTTGAGATAATTATTGCGGTTGAAGTTTGCCAAAGAATTGACACGCTTGGGAACTTCATCGCTAGTTAACTTCTCGGTAAATCGCATGATATTCTTCATAAGTATTCCAAACTTGGAGAATTTTTTTTTGAAAAATCAGTTTTTGTAAGCAATAATTCGTCATTACATAATATTATATCTTGAGAAAACTTTTTTTACTTTACCATTAATCTGCGATTCCGGGGCCATAGAGTAGGCTCTCTGCAGCACTGGCAACGTCTTCTGCAATGATCCGTGACTGCCTTCACTGAATCCTCCCTTCACGGGTCATGTTGTGAGTTTTGACTTTAGCAGTACACAACTCTTTATACATCTTCGATCTCGCAATACTCATCAGCGTTTCTTCCTACCTTGATGCCTAACGCATCCATAACTTGGAAAATATGACTTGGCTCCAGAGTTTAAAGTACCTGTCACGATATTAATGAGAATATTTACAATATCTGAACAACTGTGGGTAACTTTGGGTGTTATTCTCCAAATCCATATATATATTAAAAGCTGTAGGTTACTCTCGCTTCCACACTCGCGAAAAGAGGCGAAGGCCTTCCTTTATCCCAACATCGTATTTTGAAGGTGATCTGTTCGTGCCTTCTATGTGAAATCTCCAGTTTAAAAAGAGTCCACCGAAAATTTACTTTTTCTGGTGGGAAAGAGATACCCGAAGTATATCTGCTATTTAAACAGAGACAAAAACAAACGTCAGTGAAGACGTCGAAATAAATTTTGATATTTGACGAGTTTTCCTGGCCGATCGGGCCACGGTGAGTCGCTATATTGCCGTTAGGCACCAGTTCTGATCTTTTAGAGACGGCGATAAAACTAAAGGCTCGAGAGAAATTTTTCTAGTCAGGTTATTAAAACTCATTTGAATTTAGCTTGCTGCCGAGTATACCATGAAGCTCTTGGCAGACAATCGTCATGCTGTGGCTTTTGGTTGGTTGACGTCATGTGAAAAAAGATGGCCATAATCGCTTTCTTTAACTTTTCATCAGAATCGCTATTACGTCTTATCGCGAGATTGTAATAAATTATGAGTTTGTCAATAAGATTACCTATCAATTTACCCTTTCCTCCAAGCCCTTTTGTATTTCCCCTACAATTTCTTAGTCCTGTGCCCATTCTTTTCTGGACGTGTCCAAATACTCTTTCTTGGATATCTTTGTATCTTTATATGATGCACATTCTATTATGCTTTTATAAGTTTTAGAGTCCCCATCGTCCATGTAATTAGTGTATTTCACTCCATATTTTTCTTCTGATTTTGAAAATATTTCACACATAACTCTGCAAAAGCGAACCTAGTATTTACTTCGTATGCGTTGAAAATATCTGTGCAAGAAGGAACACTTTAGGGCTCAAAGGAAGGACACTATTTTGAGTTTCAACCCAAAACCAAGCGTAGAAGTTTGTGACATTGTAATTGTTTCTCAGCACAACACGGTAACAAAAACTTCGTCAAATCAATTGAAGTTTGCAGTTTTTTTGCTGAAACACTCATGATTACAGTCTTGTTAGGATTCATAACGATTCGTGGGAAGTCCTCTTTCACCTTATTCACTTTATCCGCTCTTGTCGTTTTACTTCCATGATTTACTTTTCTGATATCCATTTCACTATATAATTTTCACAAAATGATGAATAATAAAGGTTGCTCACTGTTGCACGACTGATGATAGAATAGAACAAACCGTTATTTAAGTACTGTCCTTTATTAAAAATAAGTAACATTAAATTAAAGACACTAAACTCAATTTTTGAGCTGTCTGGCATTTATATAGAGTTTAAATATAGGAATTTATCTGAAAATGTTCTCAAAAAGCTCATAATAACGGTTGAAACATATTTGGATGCAATTCAAGTCACAAGTGAACACAGAATTAAAAATATTTCAAAAAAAGACAATACCACATTTAAAAACTTCAAATTTGAGTCACCCTGTATTGTTAATCACCTTCGGTATCCTACGATTGGCGTCATATTTAGAACACAAAAGTATATTTTCACATTTTCAGGAGAGAGAATAAGGCCCAGAACGAAAAACGTCAGCTACCACGTCCTGCAGACCGAGAAATTACCGCTGGCCACTTTCCCCGAGCCTGACAAGGACGCCCAGCAGGCCGTCGAGAACCTACTGAAGGTGGAGCAACCCACAGAGGAAGCCAACCTGGCCGAGCACAGCAACGGGGTAATATACATGGACCAGGTGGAGCAACCACCCGACGTGGCCGCCGAGCAGACCGTGGAGAGCGAAGAACCCGTGCCTGTCAGTATCGTAGAGATTAAGAAGCGGACGAGGAGCTCCAGCAACAGTCTCAAACCCGGCCGCCACATAATCGGTCCCGGAAGCAAGGTGAGGCTAGTGAAGGAGGGTATGATCGTCTCCAAGGTGAAGAGCAACAAGAAATCAGACGAGAGCGAGGTAGAATCGATCCTCCCTGACGTGACTAGCACTCCGTTAACTATTAAGGAGGAGATAATACAGCACTCAATCAAGCAGGAGATAATGGATCCCAGTCCGCTGCACGAGCTGGCAGAGATTTCGATGCAACACGCCAACGCTACAGCGAAGAGTCTCTTTAAGTGCGAGATGTGCAGCGAGGTGTTCTCCGACAGGGCCCAGCTGCTGGTGCACGTGCCTATACACATTTGATGTTAAGTTTCGGTGACGAGCAGTCCACAATTCGGTTTCGAGGCCAGCGGTCGGGGGAAAAATTACGTCTAACTCACAGCTAAAACTTCGGATGTCTGAGGAGCGTTGAAGATGAACGTTTCTTGTTTTAAAGGTAAAAATTTACCGATATACTTTATATATTTTTCTTAACAGTATCATGAATGTTTGCTTTTATTTATATTAAGAAAAAATATTTTTCGAGTTACAATTTCGGTTGAATTTTTAAAAAATATTCTAAAACGTTTGGCATACCTGTAAGGCATTGCTTATTATTCCACATTAAATTTCGTCGATATGATTCCGTAAAAGAAAATCTAATTTTCCGTCTCGGGAAACTCTGTCGATGATTAACATTAGCTGTGAGTTGGTCTGATTTTGGCTACGACCCGGCAGTGTGAGTAAATTATTTGGAATCCTTGGGATTTGCGACGGACTTACCCTTTCGCCAGTGAGTAATTGTGTAAATTTGTAACGAACCACTAATTATAAATAATATACATATTATATATACATTTAGTTTTAAACTTAATAATTGATTAGAAACATTTGTCTATATTTTTATAATAATTTCCCTTGTTTCCAGCACGAAGCGAGGGTCTGTTTAAAGCGTTTTACTTTTATAGATGTCATAGTTTTATTCTACTTTATGTTAAAGTAAATACAAGAGCCGTCGAGTTGTTTGTATTTTAATCACGTCTTATCTGTAAATACTTATAGATGTGGAGCCGCACTCTTAGATATATTTGCTCCCCCCTTGCTGTAATCTTGATGGAAATAAATATTTGGTTAGGTCTTGTGATTTTCTCATCATCTTCCCCAGTCTTGCAATAAAAAAAAAACAATGAATGATTAGATAGGATTTTCTAGCGGTTTCGGAATATTACGGCATATTCATGATACCAATTTGGCGAACTTATCTGAAAAACCGTTCCATCTGCAAGGGCCTTAAAGCCAACAACAAGAACCGAATCAACATCATGGCAGATCTAGGGGTTCCGATATCAGGTCCGTCACCACAGAGCTTAGCCCTAGAACAACAAGGGTAGGTCAAAGATTCCTAGCTAAGACTAAAGTGGCGGTCAGACTAGGCTACTTTACCAGCCGCTGATGTCTTCTGGCTGCAAACATCCACTGCAAGCAGCCGCTGGTTTGGGTTCACATTGGTTTTATATTGTAGTGGTATTGTATTATTCGGAGCTGGGCAAAATACTTTCAAAATGTGTTTAAAATACAAAATACTTCTTTGACAAAGTATTTTAAATATTATTAATTATTTACAAGGAGAAGGCAAGGTAATCAGATTTTTGTAATTTTTGATATGAGGGTTGCTTCGGTATGCAGCAAAATAAAACTCTCTCAATGGAAAAATAAAAGTATTTTTATAGCGTTCGCTGGAGACTCTCCGTGTGTGGAATCGCTCGCAGGCATCAAGTAAGCATTTGGTCGCCAGCGCCAATCCGCCGTGGTCCCTTCCTGGAATCTTGGTGCGTCAGGCTGGCGCTCTTGATGTAACACTCATAATGAGTCACTTGCAGACATGTGTACCCACAGATATTTATGATACATGTAGTTTGGACCTTGAATAAGAATTTTCCGAAGTAGTTTGACGCAACATTCATCAATTACCGAGGTAATTGATTTTGAAGTTTTACCTGCCAGCTAAATCCACTAGATGCGACACATTTTTCAACTGGACGTGTGGCCTAGTCGGTAGCGTTCGAGTCCGACACTCATGAGATCGCTGGTTCGAGTCTCGTGCGAAATTTTTTTCCCCCTTCAAATCGCATCATGTTTTTTTAGTCGTTTTCTTATCTCGAAAATTATGAACACGCTATACTCCACGGCCGAAATTATAAAGAGTGACTAATCGCTAGCTTTTGGACTAGTAAGGGGGATGAAGCGTGCCGGGAACGAAAATCCATTGGCGTGTCTGCGTAAAAGGCTACGATATATAGAAAATATTAAAAAAAGATAATAAAACAACATCTAATATTTTTTACGGTTTGCTATAACCGGCACTTTGATCCATTTTAATTATTACAGCATTTTAAACGTCCCAGTTGTGTTTTTTTAATTTATAAATTTATTATAGCCATGGAATTAGACACCTCGTCTACGCTTATGCTTTGACGTTTCTCAGGACTCGTAAATCAAGTCTGTTTACACCCAACTAAAAAAGCATTTCCCTATTCCCTACCAAGTGCAAAAGACAGAGATAGAATATAGATCGACGTTCAGTGTAACAATCTATAGACAATTATAGATTCTATCGATGTGCGTAGCGAGCGGCACAAAGATAAATAATATTGAACCGTATAAAAATCATTTTATATTTTATACGCATTATAGTAATAGTGTTTTTATATTATGTCTTAGTCACTCTTTATAATTTCGACCACGGAGTATAAGTATTATAACGACGAGACTCGAACCAGCAATCTCGTAAGTGTTGGACTCGAACGCTACTAGCTAGGCCACGCGCCCAGTTGAAAAATATGTCGCATCTAGTGGATTAGCTGGCAGGTTAAACTTCAAAATCGGTTATTTCGTTAATTCATTAACGTTGCGTAGAACTACTTCGGAAAATTCTTATTCAAGGTGCAAACTACACTTACCATAAATATCAAAAATAACAAAAATCCGATTACCTTACCTTCTCCTTGTTAGTATTTAAAATAATAATTTAAGTATGTTGAATATTAAATACTGGGTGTTTGAGAGTTGAAGTGACAAAGCCTAGGGGAGATTCGGCTCAGTAAAATACGTAAAAGAGTTCAGATTAACATGGGTCTGCATGTCCTTCGTTTCTCAGATACAGAGTGTTAATTTCTTTTTTAAAATTGAGTTTTTTAAACAAATGCTTTAGCCGATTTCAATTAAATTTTTACGGTTTACTAAAACAATTATCATCATACATCAACTGGACCAATAAGTTTTATTCCAGAATTTTATGTAATATTTAGATAAACCCACTAAAAATAGTACATTTGTGTTTCTTGACACTTTTTAGTGTCCCACTTCGTTTTTATTTTATTTTGTTTTTTACAAAGAAAAAACGACTTGTTCGCTGGGTACGCTCCTGAAAATTCTGGATCAAATGTAATTGTTCCAGTTGATGTATCATAATTGTTTTAGGAAACCGTAAAAATTTCATTCAAATCGGCTAAAGCATTTCTTTAGAAGTTAATTTAAAAAAAATTATCTCGGAAGTGAAGCACTTGCACACCCATGTTCATACAAATTTTTTTACATATTTTGCTGAGCGAAATCTCCCCTAGACTATTGAAAATATTCATTTACTGTATTTAAAATATTTTTGAGAAATATTAAATCTGAAACTTTTACGATGTGACTTTAAAAAAAGATATTATATGTTCAAGATCAAAAAATTAAAAAAAAATCAACATAAGTCTGGAAACAATAATTTTCATTTGGATTATTGAGAAGCAGAATATTTAATTCACTCATAATGTTTAATTAGTTTTTCTTAGAATAGCCCAGTAATGAAAAATAAACTAATTTTAAATTTTGATGATTGATTGTCGACTTGATTATTATAGTGACCTAAAGGGTAGTAAGCACACCCTAGATAAACCAGCCGGGGCACTCTCGCCTTTGAACTTTTTCAGCTGGGCGTTTTTTGCGTGTTGTTTATGTCGTTACCCTCCGCACAGATCAGGGATTTCATTAAACTGGGAAGTGGGAAATAACAAAACATGTTAATTAATTTGTTCTAGTCAAATTATCTGAAAATCTTTTTTATATAAATTGTGCTGCGTAATGTGCTACGTAAGACATTGTGGGTAAAAACACTTAACACACAAAAGCCGTATATACGTCGCTGGTTGAGTCGATGCAAACTACGATCTAACCGCTACGTGACGGAGCAGGCTACGCTCTGCAAGCTTGTAGCGTGCTTTAAAGCCTGCCTCATGAAAACTGCGCATCTGAATTATTGTAGCCAGAGTGCCCCGGCTGATCTATCTAGCTGTGGTAGTAGACAAAATAGCAATAATACAAAGCACATTGCAGATTGCAGAATGCAGAGAAGAGTGCGCTAAATCCAGGCGTGCAAGTGCGTAATTTTTTTTTAGCACGTGTTGTACCAGTCGCTAGTCGTAACGGGCAAAAAGTATTTGTTTTTGGTAAGTATTTTGGGTATTTTAAATTACTTTTCTATCACGCGCACTCGCTATGGGATCTATAGTGTAGGGGGTTATATGCTCCAGCGTTACAGTATGAAAATAACATCAGGCCATTGTACTATCTGGCACTTTCCATGCATATAACCACCTACGCTATAGATCCCATAACGACTTGCACTTGTGATAGAAAATAATATGTGCAACTCCTTCGGAAAAGTTGCCATAGCACTACTTGGGTGCTTTCCACCCGCGTGGCGCTATTGGCAACTTTTCCTCACTCGTTACACAATGTATTATTAGAATATTTTAAATACTTTTTAAAATACAAAATACTTTATTAAAGTCTTTGAAACACAAAATAGTTTTGGGGTTATCACAAAAGTATTTTAATTACAAAATACAAAATACTATTTGGTACTTTTTTGTCAAAATACTCCCAGCTCTGGTATTATTGCTGCTGCTAGCGAGAAAAATCAGTTTTGTGTTGAATAGTATGTCCTCTGTGGCTACAATTAACAGCTACTATCCAGTAGCAGTGCGTGTGCGAAGGTTCACATTAAGCGACTCACGTGCTGTTAACAGCATGATTAACTAGCGGCCATTAAAGTTAACATGTGCTACTCAACGAGCTGCTAGTTATTTTGCTCGCCAGTTAGTAAAAACAGTTCATACTATGTGTTGTTCGCAGCCAGCAGCCACCAGCGGCTGGTACAGCAGCCTAGTCTGTCTACCGCTTAAGGAAGTGCAATGTAAGTAACAGCCAACAGATACATAGGTCACAGCATAATGACCCGAAAAAATATGCATTTTAAAAAATAACACACTCCGAAACATAAGGGGATACATTGACAAATTTTAATAGCTTTCATTTGTTTTCACTAAATTTAAATATCAAGTTGGTATTAAAAAAAAAAGTTGAAAAATGTGTTGGATCTTTTTTTAATGGTGCCTTTATTTTGAAGCAAAAATTTTTTCCAAAATCATTTGGCGCAAATCATACTTTAAATATTTACGTGGAAAATATGGATAAAAAATATAGGAAATTGTGAAATAAAATGGCGATTGACAAATGGAAATTGATGTAAAGGGTATATCCTCACAAATTCAAAATTTTTTTAAATATACCTGGAAATATAAAAAATTTTTGGATTAAATTTTATACACTCTATCTAAAGCAAATATGTACCATTTTAAATATGGTTGCATATAGTTCAAATCATTGCTAAGCTAGAAAATACATTAGGTTTCACATAAAGTAGGTATATATGAAGTAAAGTAAGCTATTTTATAGCAGAAATGTATTTAGATATTTTCAACAATAAAATATACAAATATAACGACACAATCAGAATTAATAAATTCAGATTGCAAATAACAAATAATAATAAATACTTATAATAAAAAATGTTAATGCTTATGGTTACAAATACGCTTTTAAGCAAAAATTATGGTTTCGTTCTCCAAAACCCAATTTATAAGGAAATATTAAAGTACAAAAACATACCTATTTATATTAAAACTTTATATTTTACTATCATGGATACTGTAAAAATATTAAGAAAATACTGAAGCTATCGACTGAAAATTGTGTATTCATAAAATGTTTGGTCAAATGTTTAAAAATGCTTTGTTTACAAGCAATACAGGGTGTTTTCAAAATTAATGAAAATATGTGGTTTATTTCAGGATGCATAAACAGAGGAAGCTATGGAAATAATACTTAATTATCTGATTTATTAATACATAAAAGGGTTTTTCCAATAATGATTATTTTTATTTAAAAATGTTTCAAAATTTTCTAAGATTATATCATTTATCTCGATAATGGTGTATCCTATGCTTCGCGGTCGAAATTATAGAGAGTGACTCAAGACATAATATAAAAACATTATTACAATAAAGCGTATAAAATATAAAATAATTTTTATAACAGTCCAATATTATTAGTCTTGTATTCTATGCACTTCGATAGGATCTTTAATCATCTATAAACTGAGTTACACTGAACGTCGATCTATTTTCCAGCTCTGTCTATTGTACTGAACAGGGAAATGCTTTTTTAGTGGGTGTAAACGGACGTATGTAGTACTTGATTTAGCCGTCGTTAGAAATGCCATAGCATAAGCGTACGCGAATTTATAAATTAAAAAGATACAACCGGGACGTTTTAAAACGTAATAATTAAAAACTGTCTGTTGCCAAAAAAAATAATAAACAGATACGCCTATGGATTTTCGACCCCGCACGCCTCCTGACCAGTTGAAGAGCTAGCGATGAGTCACTCTATAATTTTGCCCGCGAAGTATAGGAACCAGCAGAAAGGGAACATTTCGAAAGCTTTTAGCACTCTGTCATAATGATAAATCAACGTAGAAATAATTTTGAAGAAAAAGAAAATAATTGAAGTAGAACCCTGATCATCCGCGGATTCTTAGTGCGCTGCAATGTTTATGATTATCCGCTATCCATACGCGGATTATCCGTGGCGGGGCAAAAAAAGCGCTCAGAAACAAAGATGAGTCTCTGCTTGTTTATCGCATACATATTATCTAATAGGTATGTGTAATAAAGTTCATATTTTTGTGCAAAATTGGTGAGTTTGGGCATTATTTCCATTAACCGTGTTTTCGATTATCCAGCAACAATTCGGTCTGGCCGGCCTGAATAATCGAGGTTCTATTGTACTTAAAATATTACGTCCCCTGGGACTTTTCCCCTGTAATAAATCTATTATGCATATGTGTGTGGACAATAAAAACATTAAAACTACTTGCTGAATTGGAATGAAATCGCTAGAGCTGTTTTTTTTGTAAGAAAATCAAATTCATTGTTCTCTCTTACTCTGTATTTCAAAAACAAAGCATTTCTTAGTGTTTGGCCAAATATTTTAGTTATGTCCCGTATATCAACATTGCCTCTGGAACATGAAACCATTTTACTTAAAATATTAAATTGAACATAAAATTATTTTGCCTAAGGAAAGAAATACAACCGTACTTGAACACATGCTGTTTATGTCGTCATGTATCATTCTTGGAATATGTCCGACGTAGTTATTTCAAAAACCATATGTAATAGCTATGTACTGTATGTTTATATAGTATGTACATTTATATAGTATGTACGTTTATATAGTATGTCCCTAAAATCAACATCAAGTTTGCAGAGAGTGATAGACTGACCCATAACTAGCCAGAATAACTAAACTGTTTATTTTTGAAAAATTGTCACTTTTTTAAAAATCGGAAAAATCGCTAATCTAGGTAAATGTTCCAGATATCACGGCTACAAGTATTATTGTTCATGATTCTGTTTTCTTGCAAGATATCGCAAAGATGTCTAAGTAAATGCAATAAAAAAATTCCCATTGTTGCTTGGGCGAACAGCAGGTAGGGCAAGAAAAGAACAGATGCAAGCTCACAATGATGCCCAAGAGGCAGAAAGACTTAAATGGTGCTGGAATCGCTGATTGATCGGTAAGTACACTATATTGTTGATAATTTTTTCAAATTTCTAGTTTTCGGAAATTTTCAAACGCGTTTTTCTCGAAACGACATTTTTTTGATTCAAGGGAACTGTAGCTCAAAAAGTCATGAACGGATCGTTATGGAAATTGAAAATGTGTTTCTTTATGAAATTATAAAGAACATGAACCAACAATTGGGATATCATAATTTTTTTGGTTTTCTGTTCAAAATAAGTGAAGAAAAAAAGGATGAAAATCGATAATTTTTTTAAACACATGTCAAAACTTCAATATTTACCCTCAATGAGGTTCATATTCTTAGAAAACATGTTAGTAATGAAGGAAAACAACCATTTTGCTTTAAGATCAAAATTATGACCTCCACATTTCCCGTGAGCAACTAACTCGGACAAAGACCTTTGGTGGACAACAATCCATAACTTCGGCATTTGAACACAAATGACTTGAAAAAATTTGTAAATGTGGTTCAATTCAATTTGTCTCAATCAAAAAAATTCATGAAAAACATGGTTTCTCCTCTTAAATAGAAAACAGCAAATAGCATGGAAAATACCATTTTAAAATCTGTACAAAATGGACATTAAGACAAAAGAGTAGTTTCACCTACTAAATTTTTTTATAACGTTCAAATTAGGGCAATGATTATTTAAAAAGACCTTAAAACTGGAAAAAAATGTTTTGGTGGTGAAATTTTTTGATTTATCAAAAAAAAAACACCTAATTTTGTAGTTGTGATACTCGAAACATTTACAGGGCATCGATTTCTACAATTTTTGAGGTGTTCAATTTAGTTATTCCGTATTAACATTCATTTTTGGGACATCCTATATATTTTTCAATTTGAACGAATTACCAGAGAAAATAGCATTTATTCCAGTACGATCGTATTTCCACGTGTTTCATTAATAGTCTATGTGAAATATCAAACATCCTTTAAACTACCTAAGAGCTAAACATTCAAGGCCACTTGTGTTTTCATATCCTACAGAACACGGAATGCGTTTTGAAAAACAACCTCAAAAGGTACAGTTTTAGAGAGAGGATATACAGGGTTGCAAGAAAATTGTACGTAACAATGTTAAAGTTTAATTTTATATTGCAAAATGTTTTTAATTGTTATTTAAAGAATGAGTGCGAAAAAAAGTTTACCAGATAAATTTCAAGATATAATATTCTTATTGAAGTTTTGCATGCCCTGTATATAGTGACAGAACAGAGCTGTTTTGAAATAAAATACAACCACAAAAGTAACTTGTTTGTAACATAGCAAGGTCCTTATTCTAATCTTAGCCAAAGATACACATATTTTGGAATATATTAGTTAAAAGAGGATTAGACAGAATAAAATCTGTTTCAATGTAAAAGCTTTTTCTAGGAGCGTTTAACGGCACAAAAAAAATAAAATCATGAAAATCATGGAAAATAAATACTAAGTTATGGATTATGAAATAGAAACAACTAGAATATTCTTAAAAACATTAAAATGTTATTGGAGCTTAACACTACTCGGAAAACTTAAAAAATTATTTGTTTGACACATTTTTTTTACATTGTTTGTCAATATGATGATCGAATTTAGTTGTAAGAGTTTTGTATTATCTCGTTTATATTTAATGTTTAATGCCCCATAAAAATAAAAAAAATATTTTTAAACAATTAAAAAGGCTGCACATACTCTTCAATATGCAAAACTCTAAGTACAATCCTAGTAACGGTCAAACAAACTTTGGCAAACTAATTCCTTCTACTCGATTAGAACCTGACTTACTGATAAGGAGTCCTAGGGTTAACGTTGATCATTTCACTGGTACTGCAAAAAAAACAGAACATTATTCCCTTTGCAGTTCCAATACTCAAATCACTCAAGGTCGTTAAAGTACGAGGTTGCCTACAAACTGCTAACTGATCCGCCACTTTGCCATGAATGGTAGTGACGTCATTTGTATTATAAATCGAATAACAGCATAATCTGGTTAAAAACAGGTATCTTATTTACTACAGAAAAATGGGCGCGGCGGTAGGGAAACCCTTTATATAATTCCTAATAAGATTGCACAGTTTTTGAATCTAGAACATCCTGAAACATATACAGGCCATTCAATCCGAAGAACATCGGCAACATTACTGACTAATGCAGGATTCTTTCATGATAATTAATAAAATGTAATATTCATCAAATATGTCTATTTATTTATTATTGCCTTCTTAAAAACAATGTATTAATAGTCTATTTACTATAGTGGGAGCAGAGAAAAGCATTGATTTACTGTATTGTTTGGTTTTTGTTTGTGATAATTAGTGACTTATTAAATAAATAATAATTACAAATATTAGATGTGTAGGAGTTTGAATGAGAATTTTTACAATGAGGTATGATTCCTATTGAAGAATATGCTGCCAAAATTTCAAAATGAAATTCCTATTCCTTCGAATTTTACGAGCCTAAAACCGAATGCCCATCGAGTCACCACTCGGGAGCACACCAGGTAGGTCGGAGTGTTTGTTCAGCTAGTCTAGTCACTTATTAAGCAAGAAAGAATAGATGCTAGCTGAGAATTATGTCTATGTGGAAGAAGAAGAGCTGTTATATGGTGCTGGGATCGCTGATTGATCGGAAAGCACTCTATATTGACAACTTTCTCAAATTTATACTTATTGGAAATTTTCAAACGTTTTTTTCTCGAAATTACATTATTTTGATTCATGGGAACTCTAGCTCAAAAGTTATGAATGACCGATCGTTATGAAAATTGAAATTGTGATTCTTTATGAAATTACAGAGAACATGAATCAACAATTGGGATATCATAAATCATTAAAAAAATCGATACATTTTTCTCAAATGTGTCAAAACTTCAATTTTTACCAGCAATGTGTTTCATATTCTTAGAAAACATGTTAATAAATGCAGGAAAACAATCGTTTTGCTTTCAGATCAAAATTGCGACCTCCACATTTCCGTGAACAACCAACATGGACAACGGCCTTCGGGGCAGACAACAGCCCATAACTTCGTCATTTTCAACACAAGTAACTTGAAAAAATTTGTAAATGTAGTTCAAAATATTGGTAAAATAATGTCAAAGTTTGATCAAATTCTAATCAATTTTTTCTACTCAAAAACTATATGAGAAATGCCTGAAAATCAGGTTCCTAATGTGGTTTCCCCCTTTAAAGTTCCCCAAAAACCTTAAACCCAATTTTTCAAAACCTAGCATTCTTCTTTTATTGGCCTTCATCCATTTAGCAATCAGTTTATTTTATTCACAATATCTGCAGCATTGGGAATGCACATTGGGGTGCTACTGAGATCATACTCACATTCCCTTGGGTTTTAAAACCAAGCATGGTATTGAATATATTAGTTTATATAATCAATGATGCACAATTTTTTTTTTTAGATATTTTCTTATATGCTGAAAATCATAGTTTCGACTCACAATCAGATACAAACAAAATTGATAGAAAAACGCTACAAAAATTAGAAAGCTTTAGAAAGTGAAAATATATGGGTATTTTATTGTATTTGCTTCATAATATATTATATTAAAATGATTAATAATTCAAATGACTAACATTGTATTAGATGATGGAAATCAAATTAATATACCGATGACATATTACCGCCTTAGAAATGCTGCAATGCCATTGGACAACTCAAGGTTATAGTCTGTAGGCAACCTATTTAATTAGCGATCTTGAGAATTACTTACCTTTTACCACACTTGATGTGAATGAACAACAAGGCTATTCCTAAAAGGAGACAAATACACCCCACGACAATATAAGCTATTCCGAGGAACGGGTTCTTGCCCCCTAAGAGAGAGGTGGTGCTGAGGATCATGCGTTTCGAACCATCGAAAGTGCTCACGTCATAGTCTACAACGAAAATATTCAGAAAAATGTCTAAAAAACAGTTATTTAGACTAACTATAGACGACTTTTAATTCATAGTCCCCCTTCCTCAAGCCATTAACGAAACCTTTTTGTGAGTGGTCGATTCTGCGGTACAGTTTGCGAAAGGTGGGGAATGCCGCTGTTCTCATCCAAACGATCAAGTCTTCATTCTGGAAACCATTGTTCTCGGGATTGTAGGGATCCAATTCATACACGGGGACTCTCCAAGCTTTCGGTTTTGCAAATTTACCCTTGAAGGCCTCCTGTAGGTCTCCAGGTGGATTGCGGAACTTAATTCTTCTGTCTGATTTCCATGCTATGCCCGTGTTTAACAAGGGCACATCCGTTTTCTCAGAGTCCACCCACATGGTTAGCGTCAAATTGTCTTAAAAACAGAAAAGACAATACATAATAAGATGTTTACATGAGTTATAAAAACAAAATTACAATCACACACATATGTATATAGAAGCATTAAATTAAATCATTCAAATTTTGTTTAAAAATTCCTCTAAATTTAAAATGTCGTAAAACGTAAACCCGCTTTAGAGTTTTGAAAAAATCGATTATTGGATAAATGATTTAAACAATGATTTATTGTGTGAAGAATATAGGAAAAAAAGATTAGGTGGAAAAATCGAGAACACTAGTTTTTTCAAGGTAGAGCAAAACCAGTCGCAATGTGCTGCAGAAGTGTTTATTGTAAGTCATGAGAACGTACACAATAGTTAGCTGTTATAGAGACCAGATTGAGTCTCAGATCAACCGAACAGAGAGGATGATGAAAACATCAATATAGAAGGCCAATTATATGGTGCAGGCATCACTGATTGAAGGTGTATAACGAATTTCTTATGCTGAATGGCAACAAAAACTTTAAAAGTGTTTTTCGAGAAACCACCCATTTTTAACAGCCCGTAACCATAACTTGAAAGTTTTCAACAAATCGACTTAAAATTTTCTACAGAGCTTCACAACTAACATAACTCAGGGAACATCCTAGGAGTTTTTCGGCTGATTAATAATTTCCAGTGTTATTAACAATTTAATGGAAAATTTCTCGTCTTTTTTCAATACTTTTTTTAATGTTCATTAAATCAATAATTATTAATATTTTTAAATTTTTTAAATATTTATTTTACATAAGATGTTCCCTAACTTTTAATATATAATATTAGAAAAGTTTTGTTTTTTTGTTTTGACCATCCATTAATTAATTAACACTTCCGGCTATACAACCCTCTAAAAAAAAGGTGTCGTTGCTTGCTATCACCTACAGCCACCATTTTCAATCCAAATCATTTGAAAAAATTCATAATACTGTGTACTATGTGAAAATATGTACAACAATGATTATTGTTTCTGATACTATCTTGTATCGATACTTGTAATCGATTTTTCCTTGAGAATTCCCAAAAATCACCTTTTTTCCAACATCTGAAGCGGCGTTACCTCTTCATTTAGATTTACAACCATTATAGTTCACATATTGTTCTCGATCACTAAAGTAAGATTTTATTGAATCGATGCTATTTTATCGAAGTTATAACACATTAGTTTACTTAAAAGAATAGAATAAAAAACACAGTCAAGATGCACAGTTATATAAAACAATTTGAGGCTTTAAAAGAAGTTCGAAAATTTTAGCTAACCAAAATTCCAAATAGGATAATAATGTCCTCCATTGAACTTTTTTTTACAGAGTTGTATAATCCTTTGGAAATATTATAATTATATTATAAATTGGCAATACGTATTTTTATTAATTTGGTTAATGGGTAGACAAGTTCAGTAGAGTTTTGACAATTATTGTTTACAGCAAATGGATCATAGCTATTAATATTCTTTAGGTAATTTGTTTGATATTAATATAATCAGTTCATAAGTTAAATTAAATAAACATCATCTAAAATTTTGTTTACTATTTCAGAGAAGTATCTATAAAAGTATTGTGAATTCAGGGTTTAATAAGAGCAGTATTAATATTTTTATCGTTTGGATTATAGCTGCTTACGATATTCCTCAGAGCTCCTTGTTTATTGCAAGATTTATTAATGAACTGATCATACTTTGCTCATCTTTTCGCATTGTGAATTGCTTCATGGTACCTCCTCCGTACAGTATTAACTTGTTTAGATTAGATCCAAATTTGTGAAGGTCATTGAACAAGAATATCAGACATTGATTTCAGATCTTTATTAAACTATTGAAGAGGATATGCCGATTTTCTAATAACTCTACACTTAACTGGTATTTTATCTACAGCATTAGCTATAATATTAATATTTTAGAAATTCTCCAAAATACTTGAACTGTCATTAATGAAACTCCAATTGGTCACCTTAATTGCATTATAAAACAGAAAGAGCCTGTTTGTCATTGGACCACAATTAATTCTATCAAAAATCTTATGAACTGATATGTCTTTTTCAAAAATATTAACTCTAAAGCTATTTTAAGAGATTAGTAAAAATATTGACTAGATGAGTTACTTCTAATACTTTTTTCTAGTACAACCATATGACCTATACAAATTTATAAGTACAACAGTACTGAAGTTTGCAAAATAAAATCACCACTTACTATGATGTGCTTGCTTATAGTCTTTCTGATCTCAATTGAAGAACCAAGAGATTGGCAGTGTGTACCAAGTTCGGTTGCTGACGCAGCAACTCGGCATTGAAATATTTGAAAAACTTGTTAGCCATACCCATATACAGGTCTGGTCGCCCAGTTGAAGCTTGAGCACGCGGGCAAACGCGGCACAAACACAGCCGCACTGAGTGACGTAGCCATAAATTCAGTTGTCAACAAATGGCCTAGCAGTGCAGTGCAGCAATGCGGAATTTGGTGTGATTCAGGTAATTTTAATTTATTATAGGCACCTTCTATTAATCATTCATATTACAATTGCAAAAGGGAAAAATAAGGATATTTTGTTTACTAATATTATTACAATACTGGATTTTGGAGACCTTTTGAAACAGAACAAAACGAAATGTTCAAATAAACATATAATAGAAATTTTCTACACATTATACAAATTATTATAATTTTTTATTTTTAGCAGAAAACTTTTCTAAGAACGCCTATGAAACTCATTAAATTTTATTGCTAGGAGTTTTTATACATGTTCAACTGACTTCGGAAAGACTAAACCCATGAATGTTTTGAAATCCCGTTGGGAGACCTATAAGTTGTGATAATTTAAATATTTTGGCAATAAACTAGTTAAAGTATGAAGTGATTTAATTATCTTTTTTTTTCATAAATGGAAATAGAAACAAGTTTTTAAGAGACCTGCCACAACTAGAAGCAAGATTATGTCCCATAGGTGGCATAGTGAACTTTTCATCTTAGTTTGATCTTACCTAAAGATGTCAATTATAAATAAAAAAAACGTTAGATTTGCTTACCACTGAATAAAGAATTTGCAATAGCCCCACATGGTGCGATGGGTAGTTTCTGCCCACTTTCATTGGCATAAGCAAAAGGCATGCAGTCTGTGGATACATCGGTGCTTAACCGCCCTAATAATTGGTTGTCGTCTCGAGATTTGACATACCTTCGATGGTTCTGATAGTAGTTGCTCAAACCATAATACATGTACACTTTACCCTCAAAATCTTTTTCTAAAGTAAAATTTATCCGACATATGCATTCTTTGCTGGGATTTTTGTGTATAATATCTGCACAAGTCTCATTTGTATAGTACCAACTTGAGTCAGTGCCATTAGTTTCGTTGCACTTGGTATAGTCGATTACATGCTCCTTCACTTCATCTGAGAAATAAAGAAGCCCTATACCGACAGGAATGAATGCAATTCCTATCACGAAGAATGTAGGCAAGACTGTTCCAGCTGTAAGTATGGGTTGCCATGCTGGAAGTCTTTGCTGTTTGAATGCACTATCTGTAAGAGACAAACAGTTCTATAACATTGCTTTTTAGTTAACATATTCAATTTTCCTAGTTCCCAATTTATTTGTCAACCAGGATTACAAAATACTACAAATTTTATACATGAGAAAACTGAAGCTATATTATATATCAAAAGATATAAGAAATATGTCGGTTATTACAAAATGTAGAAAAATAGAACAATTAAATTCACTTGTTCTATGAGCTATTGATTGCTAGAATACAAGTAGGTGTTCCCATATAGATTAATAATGTATTTCAATATGTTCATCTGAAATAACATATGAACCAAACAATACTCAACAGCAACACACACCATACTTTGTGCCTTGCATAAAAAAAACATCAATGAAGTTATTTAATCAACAACAGGAAATTTAAGCTTAGTATTCTTAACAATCAATACTAAGCAAAGTGCAAAAGGGTTTGGCTAACCTATTTGTTTACAATCAATTGCTTTTCTTCCAAGACGACTCACCCGAGGGTTTTTTTGTTTTTGAAGAATCAGCGCTGTCTTGTGCCATATCGGAGAAAATCTATTTTTTATTTTCAATTTATTGACAAGAAATGACTAATAAAGGGATCAAGATAATCAAAGTTACGTCAAAATTGTCAAAAATGAATCTCTAATTTCCCCCAGACCCCCATTTCCAAATATAAGTCAAATTGTATAAAGAGAGGGCGTTCCGATGTTAAGGGCGCAGTGACTGGGAACGTTCCAAAATCATTTATAGCAGACTTTACAACGATCTTAATTATTTTTATACAGGGTCATTCGTAAATAGACCAATACACTACTTACACTTAATACCAAGTTGCTTTACAATTTTAGTCATTTTAACACTTTTCAAGTTTCTTATATCTTGTAAGTAAATTTTGTGTACGCATATACCAGTTTTTGCGTAATTAATTATTTTATTATTCATTATACTCCAAGGAGATATTTTTCCCATGAGTTTCATTATTTATTTTGTATTACCACAATAAACATTTATATTGGATAAAGCTTTTGCCTACCTGTTTACACGGTTCGGATACGGCTATTTTGCCGATAGGATAAAAATGTCGTATGGTAAGCGGCGTAGTTTTAAATCTGCGTGTTCAAACGACAGTTCCTCAATTTAACTTAAATTTAACCGTTTCGAAGAGATCGTTATGCCGCATGATGCTGTGTGAAATTGGCTGTTATAGTATTTGAAAAAAATTAAAATTGGCAACTAGTGCCATCTAGTGACTAAAGAAACAATCTGTACTGTGTCGATTCATTTACGAATTACTCTGTACTTTCTGTTCATTTAAATATTCATTTCGAAGAAATATATTGATATTCAGAAGATAAGTTTTAAGGTCATTTTATTGTCACGATAAAGCGAAAAAGAAGAATTTTCACTGAATAATATTGTAATGGTTGCAATTACATTATGTTTTATAAAACTTGTTATGATAACATTAAAGGCTTTTATGCTAAAATCAAAAATGAAACTAAACTAAATTTCGTTTTACAAAAACCTCATAATTTTACAGTAAATCAGTAGAAGCTGATTTGAATTCTTTCAAATTGTATTTTGTTTAGTTTGTTTACTGTTGGAAATTCATTTTCATTTAAAATTCTCTTAAATAAAAATCTAATCTTATTACACTTAATCTGTGAAAAACACTAACAGAAAATATTATTTTTAATATAGTGAAACTATTTACTACTTAATTATAATAACCTACAGTAACATGAGTAAAAGAAACATTGATGTGAGACTACTACGTTTTCAGCAAATATGAAAAACTATCAACTATTACCAATTCCTTTTTACCTTGTATCTTCAAAACAAACTTTCACTAACTACATTATTACATAAAAAGCGGACTTACATGCCTTTAACATTTTATAAGCGCCACATAACTCGTTCTAAACTCATCAACCATTAATATCAAATCAATTGAATTTTATTGCTTGTATCGCACTCATTGTGCGACTTATAAGTCTATAAGACTGTAAAATCTATACTGAGCACAACTGGGATATCATATCATTTTATTAAAACTATCGTATACTTATAGAGTTAATTTTACGGAGAACGCGGATACTATACAGGGTGATGTCGTGGAAAGGTTGGAAGCACTTATATCGATATAAAGATCTATTAAAAAAATAACGAAAATCTCATTTGGGTTGTACCTACTTTAATGAGTTACTAAAAATATAAATTTTCGAAAATGTAAACCATGCAATATTTCTTAATGATTAAGGTATTGCCAAATAATGCTTCAGTGATTAATGACAAATAAATATATTTACATTACATTGAAAACTAATATATCCCCGTACAATTTACGTGGACTAAGAAAGTGAGTATTAATTTTGTGACAAAACGTATTTATAACATTTATTTATTAATAATATAACTGTATATTCCTTTTAGTATTGTTAGTGAGAGATACAATAATACAAATTTGATCGTTTTAAGAACAGTGTGGAACATTTGCATATTATATTTGGTCCACCCTGTACATGTCCAAGGTCGGCAAATTATTACGGTAAAATGGATCGTTTATAATTATGTTTTTTTAAGTAAGTCCACTGTTTGCTTACTTTTATTTGCATGATTACTTAATAGTTAAACAATCTTTTACATCCGCCGATAAGAAAAAAAAATAGATTAGAAATTCCAGAAAATGTTCAAACAGGAAGGTGGACGGTAAAAATTATTATAGTACCAGCACAAGAATAAATTATTATTGTGGTACCAGTTGTGATAAGCAATTGAATATTAAATTATGTTTTAAATGTATCAATATGATTAAAAAACGATGAGTAGGTACTTACAGAAACCAGTTGTTGAAGGTTTTTTGTTGTTAACTGCCTTTTTCACTATCTTCGACATAATTTTTCAAATTCTGAAGCATCTTGCGCAACCCGGGGGATTTAATCATTCTAAAGTTTTACCGGTTAGTTTCTAAACGATTAATCCTTATAAAAATTAACTATTTAGCATCATCGAACCATTTCTCGAGAATCGCGTGACTGAAGCAGTAAAACTGATGTTTTAAATATTTGATCGAAATTATATTGTCCGCTGATAGCCCCACATGAATAACGCGAATTTCTTAGCAGTATAGCTAATACCTATATATGTACTAATAATTTTTTAAATACCTACACATAAAATTTTGCATATTGAACACAGAGTTTGAATTTTTTTGTTGTATGTACATAATTCACAAGAAACTGATACAATTAAATTTATTTTTTATTTAACAACGTCAATACAAGAGACAAAATCGCAGAAAAATTAAGAAAAGGAAAGCAACAATTTTTATTTGGAAAATTATGGAAATTATATCATTCTGTTCGAGTGTGAAGATGCCACTGGATTTTGTATAAGACACCGATTAGAATCTCTATGTCCCGTTTGGTGATTTCTTGTTTCTCATAAAGCAAACCAGATGAGGGCAACCCGAAGCCATTTTCTCGTTTTATGAAGAAAATTAAGAATCAGTTATGCAACGGATAGTCGTTAGTGTATGGCCCTGAACGAAAATGGAGGTAGTGATTTGATATTCCTGAATCTTGCCTGCATCATAGGCGTCGACTACGAGGAAATTCGAGGAACTCAAGCCCTTTGTGAAATATTTGCAAACATATGGCAGGCTGTATAACATATGAATTTAGCTGAGCCCCGAGCCTCTCCTGAAATTTTCCAAACCCGGCGCCTAAGACCTGTACAGTAGATCCCCTCTCTGCACAAATTAGTGTTGACAGAAGACGAGGAGGTGCTTATTCTCGGTGTTTCAAGCGAAAAAAGATTTACAAAAGTTTTTAATAAAAATCGAGTTTTAAAGTATAATTGTATGTTTATTTTTGTTATTTAAATAGCAATCAAGCTTAACATAACTATCAGTGGCGGCTCTTGAGTTCCATGCCAAGGAGCGCGGAAATATTTAGGTATAATGTATTGAAAAAAATCAGATATATTGGGTAATTTTATTTTAAGTACTATTGAAATATAGAGAAAATGTACTCAACATTACTTTTTAGTGCTTCTGCTTTTGTCCGAAATAAAATTTTCAATTACTACAAAGTGCTACAATCAATTTACACTTTTACAAGTGTTTAAAGAACACAAGATACAGTATTATATAAGTATCAAAATTTACACAACACCTGAACAAATTATGTTTATTAAGAAAAAAAGCGGTGAATCGCTATTATTTGGTTACAGTTGGACTAGTCAGAGCCCAAACTGCAGAGTAAATATGCGCTACTCCCACTCTGTCTTTCACTACTACGCGACAGTAACCATGACCACAACTGTGAACACTTTACATATGTAGAGGTGAGCTACGAGAAGCCAACGTATTCAGTTTTGCAAACAAATTTTGCAAGAGGAGTTAAATTGACGCTGCCACTGGAACCAAGCGGTTATATTAATTTTGAAAAACAGAATTATGTATGCTCTTCTGTTAATTCTAAGTAGTTAGATGATTCAATTAACCTCTAGATTATATAACTGGTTGCATATTTACTGAAGCCAGATTTGAAATGAAAGGTGTGTATTATAGAGCCAACGACAAATCTTATAAAACAAAATATATACAGGGTGTTTCAGAAAGACCTCCCGTAAATTCAGGGGGTGATAGTACGACAGAAAATAAGAATTTTTTGTCTTATGAACTACAAGTCTATCTACTCTTGTTTTCGAGACAAAATAAAATTGTTTGAATAGAATTTTTACGAAAATTTCCAAACGGTGCGAAATATTTTTATTAAATTTGGTATTCTGGGGTTTTTAAGGACGCCAAATACGCTGGTCTAATTATTTTTTGTATATTTTATAGAGGGCGCTACTTATGCTACATTCGTATTACATTTTAAGTTCTAATTTTTTTGAGGTTAGCATTCGGGGTCCAATTTCTAATGTACAATTTTATTTTCTAAAAATAATGTACTCTTGTTAGAACTTCCTAATGTGGACGGTTTTCGAGAAAAAAGGTTTTTAATTATTGAACTCTTACAATATTACGGTGTAGAAAATAAGTGACTTTTCTCAAAGTAGGCTTATGTCAAAACTTATTGATGGATGTCTCATAAACAACGCATACATTCTCAGTAATATTTTATACTCTAATTAACTTTATATCAAAATTTTAGTGACTGTAATTAGTCATTAGTAACTACAGTCACTAACAATCACTAAAATTTTGATATAAAGTTAATTAGAGTATAAAATATTACTGAGAATGTATGCATTGTTTATGAGACATCCATCAATAAGTTTTGACATAAGCCTACTTTGAGAAAAGTCACTTATTTTCTTCACCGTAATATTGTAAGAGTTTAATTAAAAGCCTTTTTTTTCGAAAACCGTCCACATTAGGAAGTTCTAACAAGAGTAGGTATATTAATTTTAGAAAATAAAATTGTACATTAGAAATTAGAGCCCGAATGGTAAAAAACCTAACCTTAAAAAAATTTGAAAATTTTCGTAAAAATTCTATTTAAAAAATTTTATTTTGTCGCTCTGTATCTCGAAAACAAGAGGAGATAGACCTATTGTTCATAAGACAAAAAATTCTTATTTTTTGTCGTACTGTCACCCCCTGAATTTACGGGAGGTCTTTCTGAAAC